AAATTTTTTTTTCAAAAAAAAAAAGGGGGGAGGGGGGGAGGGGGGGGGGGGGGGAGGAAAAAAAAAAAAAAATTTTTTTTTTTTTTTTTTTTTTTTTTTTTTTTTTTTTTTTTTTGGAAAAAAAAAAAAAATTTTTTTTAAAATTTTATTAATTTGTAAAAAAAAAAAAAGAAGGGGGAAAATTTTTTTATTTTTTTTTTTTTAATGTTTTGGTTTTTTGTTTTTTTTTAATTATTAAATAATCTGTAACTTGATCTATCTACAAATGCATTTATAAAGTTTTCTAAAGACAAAAAAGTTAGAATTGAACAAATAAAGAATAAAACAGAAGGAAAATCGCCAAGGGGAGTCGAACCTATGGCAAAAAGCGCCCAGACGGTCTCGCACCCCAGTCCCCTATCCACTCGGCCACCAGTCCACCTAGGCGGACGGGAAAGATGCCTTTTATAGGGATGCCAAAATCTTGTATGCTAAATATCTCGCGTTTCCGAAGTCCTCTGCAAAAACTAGGAGCAGATTCGGAATCTCCATAGTCGAATCTATAAGATGAAGTCGATTTCATAGGGAATAGGCAACGGTAAGTTCATGCTTTTCCCTAGTCAGTTTGGAGGGGAAATCCAGCCACTAATCTTTACCGTGAAACCTTGCTAAATGTGACAAAAAGGCTTTAAGACCAGACAGGAATTCACTAGGAATTCACTAGGAAGAAATTATTATAATTAGCGCAAAATCTTCTTTTGCGCTAATTATAATAATTTCTTCCTAAGATCACTTTTCTCAAGGATTTTCCAATAACTTACTTGCCCTCAAACACGAGATCCCTTTCATTTGAGGGCTCACTCGGTCCCATCCCAGCGTAAGCCACAAAAGTCATCGAGCTGTCGCAGAAAGTACCACCCTTTAAAAAAAACTTGCAAAATGAAAGTCAAAGAAAGATATCTATGTGACCATTGTGTGGTAAAAGAAAAAGCCAACAGTTACATCACTGATACAGTACTGGACAATGAAATATCATATTTGAAAAACAATCGTCACGTTCGCACGTCTGTAACTCCGTTGTCTTTGAGTTTAAACTATTAGTGTGATACATTTTCTGAAAGCTCTTTTCAAGGGCTACACAATGGTAATATTAATATTTAGAAATACGGTAAATACAAGGGAGTTACAGACGAGCGAAAGTGACGATCGTTTTTCAAAAGATGATATTTCATTGTCCAGTAGTGTATGTCTGGTCTTACGCTGAATTGTAAACATACCTTATTCTCATTCTCATAAAACATTCATACCTTATTTTGATATTTTATTAAAGCCTTATTTTAAAGTTAATTACGGACAATGACTTTGTTTTTATCGCATGAAAACCGACTATGTCGTAGGGACAAATGATTTGTCGTTCATCATCGCGGATGGGTCGCAGCAGCGAGTATGGGCTGTGATCGCTGAGAATTGAGTTTATAAAAGTTGATAAGCTATAAATGGAAAGAAGAATGAAACAATAATGCGCTGTGCATTTTTTCAAAAACAAACTCGTAATTATCCGGATGTGCCACATAGGTGTAGAGTTCATTTGGAAAGAGGTCGAAATTCATTCCATAGTTTTCAACGGACTCTCGTCGAACTCCCGGAATTAGCAGCGGATCCGCTAGAGGAGAGTATCGTTTCTAGCTCTTCAAAGCAAAGTTATGGCTCTATTCGTAAGTACTTATTAATTTTGAAATGTATTCAAACTAAGTAATGCTTTATTGAAGATTTTGCTTGTCCTTTGCTAAAATTACAAATTTTTAAAACTAGTTCATTAAAAAGTGCCGTGAATTTATTTTTGAGAAATTTAGAGTGGCTACAACGTTGTGTTCAATTACAGATTGTTCTTATGAAACGTACAAATGAGGAACAGAAAGAAAGGTGCTTTTTTAGAAGGGACGGACCCGCCCCCTTTTGTCATTGGCATTCTAGCTTTAGGCTCAAATTTCTTGGTGTTGGGTTGTTCAATTTAAATGTTCTTGATATCATTGGATGCGCCAAGTCTTTTTCCATCAACTGGTAGAAAAACTATTTAAACGCGGCACCAAGAATTTGAGCAAGTTGGTTGTCATGGCAAAAGGGGCGGGCGTGGCCGTGCCACCCCCTTTTGCCATTGGCAATCTAGCTTTAGGCTCAAATTTCTTGGTGTTGGGTTGTTCAATTTATACATTTTTGGTGTCAATGAATGCGCCAAGTCTTTCTCCATCGATTGGTAGAAAAACTATTTAATTTGGACAGCTGAGCACCAAGATATTTGAGCTTAAAGTTGGATTGCCAATGGCAAAGGGGGCGGGTAGGGTATCAAATGTCTCATAATTTCTTTTTAGAATTCCTCAAACCGTTTGTCCATTCATCGATTCGCACAAAAAGAGCAAACTCCATTTGTGAGCTATCGCTTGTTAGCCGAAAGGTCACTTCATCGCTTTCGTTCACATACCAGTTCCATTGCCATTGCTCCCGAACGGCCTCATTGATCGACTTTTCCGTGTATCTCCTAAAAATCATTGTCAAGCGTTGATGGAAAAATGGATGAATGCTTTTTTATGCTTGTTAATGGAAAGCTTCTTTTAATATCTTATTAGGCAAAGCTATATAAAATGGGAAAACAAATTGAGCTAAAAGATTTACCTGGCTATGTTGTTGATGTACACTGGGTCTTCACTGGCAGACCACGGCATCGGATCGACGCACTAAAGGTGTAACTAGTTTAATTCGTCTTGTGATTGATTTTTAAACATTTTACATGATAAAACAAATGTTAGCACCACCAAGACGAAGTTTTTTTGAAGATTTGAACTTTGTGAATAGATATTTTGAATGCAGTTTGGATTGAGTTTTTTAAAAAATTAGACAATAGTTTGGTTGTGAAAACAACTATTGCAGTTATTAGTCATTTGCTTCAGTTCATTTGCCGTCATCTTCCGTCATCTTCAGTCATTTGCCGTCATCTTCCGTCATCTTCAGTCATTTGCCGTCATCTTCCGTCATCTTCAGTCATTTGCCGAAAGTTTTTAAAAATTTAGACAATAGAAGTTATTTGAGAAAGTTGGGATAGTTTTTTGGTTTCATTAATCGGATTTTAATTAAGATAAAGTCGATACGCTGTTAGTGTTCATCGTTGTGCATCCAATCTGTGAGTAGCGGATCGAAAAACTCGTTTTTTTCTCGGTTCGTACGGTGATCGTCTGAATGTTTTGAATGTTGGGTTTTTAGATTGAGTTTCACCTTGGCTTCACGAAAACGGACCCCGTGAAAAGCCACCGATGGGTTTTCTGGGGTGAGCTTGAAGTTCGGATCGCTCTCTGCCAAAACATTTAGCTGGTAGAGGGTCGTGCAGAGAATATTGAAGAGAAACATCATTGCTCGTTTAGATTTCTTTTGTCTACTTTGCGTTAATTATGCATATTAACTGAAGGAAATAATATTAAGAAATTAAGAATTAAGAAATTCTGTTCTATGATCCCTTATCATCGATTGTAGAAAAAGAAAATGCACTCGGAATTCACAAGGAAAAGGTTGGCTATAAAACCGAGTTATAGCATTAAACAGATGATGCAATCAGTTGTTGTTTCCACTATTGTGGAAGATTGCCAAAAGGGGCGGGGCGACCTTTTATACGCGCCCCGCCCCTTTTGCCATTGACAATCCAACTTTAAGCTCAAATATCTTGGTGCTCAGCTATCCAATTTAAATAGTTTTTCAACCAATCGATAGAGAAAGACTTGGCGCATCCAATGATATCAAGAAAATTTAAATTGAACAACCCAACACCAAGAAATTTAAAGCTAGATTGCCAATGGCAAAAAGGGCGGGGCGACGAACCTTTTATACGCGCCCCGCTCCCTTTGCCATTGACAATCCAACTCTAAGCTCAATAATAACTGCAATAGTTGTTTTCACAATCAAGCTTTTATTTTGTAAACGACACCAAGCATCACCAACGAAACATTCAGTCAATAAGCGTCTTTGCTCTTTGCTAGTGACAAGATGGCCTCAGTAACACGTATTCCTTTCTTTTTCAATCTCAATAAGCCGACTTGTTTCCTTATCTTCCACCATTACTCGAATGTTTCAGCTCAAAAACAACGTATTTTAAAACGCATCGAGTTTTTAGAAGAAAAAAACACGAAAAAATTTTTCTTTCTAAACCGGAAAATTTGAAGGGTGTAGCAATAAATAGTTAGGTGGAAGGATAGGTCTCACTGGATAGGTCTCACTTAATGTCTAGGTGCTCGGCAGCGATATCTTCTATCTGATCGTCACTTTCACAAACATACACTTAAATGAGACTTTGCCCTTCATTTTCGGTTGTCTCTTTTTAAATTTTTTTATTGGCCCTCATAAGGGTTTTTGGGGTATTTTATTCGCCCCCTCCCCTTTACCAAATAAAAAAAAAAATTGAGAGGATAATGTAGAAATAGAAAAAAAATTAGTGAACTTATAGAGATAGAGCTGTTTCTTTTGCAACATAAAATTGTTGATCATCAAATTGATCGAATCAAAGTGAAAAATGGAAGCTCTTGTTTCCATTTCTGGATCTCTCAATTAGACTAGGAAAGGTTTCGTCAAAAAATGATCAACTCAGCTTTTTTTTCGTCAATTATGATCAGAAGTTAACATTTTAAAATTGTGATCAGACTTTAAAATGTTTAAAAAAATCGATCTTTACGGTTAACGGCGGGGGCAGCGATTATTGGCGGGGCCCAATTTTTTGACCAACCTGTAGCTCATTTCTTAGCACCTTAAATTTGACACCAGGAAGTCTTACTAAGATTTAGATAGCTTAGAACGTGAGCTTTCAGAACTTATTTCTTTTATCAAAAGTTATTAACATAAACTTATATAAAATCGGGCTGCAAGTTAGTCAAAAACCTTGCCCCGCCGATAATCGCTACCCCCTCCGCTAAACGTAAAGGTCCAAATTTATAATTGTTTATAATTGTTTGTGTTTGTTTATAATTGATAATTGTTTATTTTCAAGCCGGCCGCTTACAGACAAATCTCGAGTTCTTTAGCTCTTCAGTCGTTTGCCAAGTGTAATAAAACGACGCGTCATCCTGTTTGGCGATATCATAGCACATCTGAAAGCGTAGTTGAATAAAAAACACTAACAAACTTTTTTTTTCACACTTGGCTTAAAACAGCTTCTGATCTTGAAAAGAAAGAGTACAAAATACATAAAGTAGTACACTGACTTTCTGATTTCTATCCACTAAAAGGTCCACTGTTTTTGTCTAGAATTCCATGCACTTCCAAAGTACACATCCCATAAATTTAGATTCAAAAGTACACATCTTATCCCTCCAATATCGACTAATAGTCCTTTTGAATAGGTTAATGAGAAGTATGTGATTTGTTTAGTCTATTGGTGTCTTTAAAAAAAAAAAAAGAAAAAAAGAGAGAAAAAAAAGGTTAAAAAAAAAAAAAAAAGGAATTTTTATTTAGTGTGAGTAGTTAGTGGGGTTTTTTTAGTCAAAGTTCAAGTCAGTCCAGGTTTCGGCGAAATAAACCCAAAACCAGTGTATGCAAGCTTCAATGCAGCTTCAGAAGAACTGATTTTCGGCATCAAAACCCAGTAATTTCTTTCCACCAACCATCCAATGTATCTGCGTTCTCTTTGTGTAGTCAATTTTATTGAGGTAATCATCCGCATCTCCGTCACTCCATCGCCTTTTCCCATCCTCGAAATAAAGGCCGATCCAGACGAAGAACTGGGAAGCGTTGCAGGGGTTCTCATCGGTGGAATCTTCGTTGGTCGCTTTTATATCGGAGAGAATCATTTCTAGAAATATTCAATTCAATTTTTAAATGCTTTTACTCACTGTTGACGAATAAGTGTTCATCACGATTGTGAATTGAAACCAAATGGGCTCCTTTTTGGTGGCAAATTCTCTCGGCTTCTTGCCAAGTATAAACGATCAGATCACCGTGAACGTCGTAGTGGAAGCTCTGAGTTGATCATTTTAGGCATAAACAGTAGTGTCTGCTAACCATGTGCATTGTCGATGTACAAAGCTAGACATGTACAAAGCCGACTGTACAGCGCAGTACAAAGCCGACGTACAAAGCGCTGTACAAAGCAAATTAACGTCTTGACCTCAACTATTTCAAAATTTCTTCTCACCATTGGAGCTTGAAATAGATCAAATGGTAAAAGGAAAATTTTAAAAAGCCGATTCCAAGGAATTTAAATGTAATTTTCGTTTATACACTTCTTGAACAACCAAAAAGTCTAGGGCTTACCCGATAGTAATAGTAAGCTTTTGTTGGCTTGTAGTAGATCCAACTGAAAATAATGGAATAAAAATTCTTCAATCTTCTCAAACTTCTCTTTCTCCCGTTGCTGCTTTTCCTCTGTGCAAATAGCCAAGTTTTTTCTGAATTTTACTTAAAAAGAATTCTAAAAGAATTCTTCAGAAAAAACTCACGTGTTGTTGAGGTTTGCTTGGTTCCTAGAATTTGACTTTAAATTTTTATGATGTGATGAAAAACGAACAAGTTGTCTTCACATGTAGTCAGTTGTTTGACCGCTTGAGCTTGCTCTTGTCTGGCGGTAGTTCTGAAAAACAGACAGTGATAAGAATTTAGTGATTAGACTTTAGAAATCTAATAGTTTTTTTGTTTAGAATTTTCTCCACTCGTTTCCAACTCACTTCTCTTCCTTCAGCACTCTGTTATTGACATCACAACTTGCCAACTTCGTTTTTAGGTTTTCAGCAGCGTCTCTTAACAAACAAAGCTTTTAAAAAGAGTTTTGGAACTGACTTCTTTGAAGTAGTTCCGAATGTTTTTGATATAGTTCTTTTCAATCTCACTTACTTCTCCTTTTCAAACGCTTCATTCTTGGCTCGACAGCTTTCCAGGCTCAACTTGAGAGTTCTGAGAGATTAGTTAACGCCTTTTGGAGTAAGGGAGGTGAAGTGATTTTTGGTGCAATGGTTAGTACAGTTGCCCGGTAAGCGGAGGTTCGCGGGTTCGAGTCCGCGCGGCGCGCAAGCTTTTGATCTGCTCTAGTTCCAACTGGCGACCACAGGAAGATGGGCTCTGCAATGCTTGCTAAGGTCTTCATACCTAGTTTCCAGCGCACCCCAGGCCTATAAATCGAGACGTGTGGAACTGTCTAGAGATGAGGGAAGTTAACTCCCACTGAAGCAAGAGAGACCAACTGCATTGTGGATGACCAACTGCAGGTTAGCGCGCTCCCCAGGCGAGCGAAAGCTCGCTGTTTCGAGTTCTGGTGGCACCCAAGTTTTGAGCTGCCCTAGTTCCAACTGATTGGCTGAAAAATATATAAAAAATTGGCCAGGTAAACCGTTGGTTTTTTTTGTTTTTATCTACTTCTAGGATCATGGTAAGCTCAAACTTGACCTGCAACAAGCTCACTCACTCCTTTTCCTTACTATTTCCCTCGTCACAAACAGTCAGATTCGCTTTGAGAGCTTCGGAAATTTTTCTAAACAAATTGAGAAATTATTATACTAAAACCCACTTTTCATCTTGCAGCTTTATCTTCGTTGTGTTCCTGGAAACTTGTTCTTTTTTCTACTGCAAAGAAGAAACTCACCACTGAAATCGACAAATTTTGAGTAGAGCGGCCTCCTCGCTGTCGGATGAGTCCCTAGAAATGTTTAGAAGTTAAGGAACAATCATAAATCTCACAAATCTCTGGTCGATCGACTCCTCGTGTCAGAGAGATTAGAGGGTTGAGAGCTGAAACTTTAAAATTATCAAAGCAACAGTTTTTCTCGAACATTTTGTCGACGACAACAGTGGCAGAGACACCAAGTAACAGTCCGAGAATAATCCCTTTGATGAAATTTGATCGGGCAATGGGTTGATCTATACTAAAATCATATTTTGTTTTAAGCTGCCCTGACAAATCAGTCCATTCATGAACTCCTTTAGCTACAGAAGCCTATTAGAACTTACCAATCCTCAGCCATCAATGGTGAATGTTGCTCTATTTTGAGCAATAAGATTTCTGTTTATTTTACGTGTACAAGGTTTCTCTGAAAGAAAATGAGTCAGAGAGTGAACTTGAAAAAACTAAATTGGATTGAAACAACAACACTTGGGATCTGTGATTGATTAGTGGAAGAAAGAACAACTGTTTCTCTTCAAATTTTTATCGGAAAAATTTGGAAGAACAATTTGAAAGAAAACGGAACAATTTTCCAATGTAAAACTAGGTTCCAAATCTTTCCACACACAACTCACCTAGAGTATATACCGAGTGCTGTAGGGTAACGGCACCCATATGGTGAACTGATTCCCAAGACCGGTCCCCCCAGGCCCTTCCCCTCGGGATTTAGGATAACCAGGAATCGAAATGGGTAACCAGGAATCTGTCTAAGGGGTTAGCACATATAAAGCGGGTAGCTTTCTCCTCCTACATCGTCTCCTACATCGTCCCATCCTCACAAACGATAGAATATTCCCTAGGTCTTAATGTGTAAATTGTGATTATGTGTGTGCAAAATAAGTCACCGGTAACTCTGGTATACATTATTATATCTGTGTAATTGTTGGGACCAAAGTAATCATCCAGTGTCCTGCCACTGCACTTTCTTCTCTCGTTCACCACAGGAAGCCCACTCCAGGCACTTGCTACCTTTTTCCGAGAAAAACCTGGGTTGGCGCTTTAAAGCGTGGTAAAACTACCGTACCCCTCCTAGTTTGCGCGAAATTTCATTTTTTTCATTCTTGTTCATTTCATTTTATTCTTTTTGCGTTTTTGTGATGAAAAAAAAAAAAAAAAAAAAAAAAAAAAAAAAAAAAAAAAAAAAAAAAAAAAAAAAAAAAAAAAAAAAAAAAAAAAATTATAAAAAAAAAAAAAAAAAAAAAAAAAAAAAAAAAAAAAAAAAAAAAAAAAAAAAAAAAAAAAAAAAAAAAAAAAAAAAAAAAAAAAAAAAAAAAAAAAAAAAAAAAAAAAAAAAAAAAAAAAAAAAAAAAAAAAAAAAAAAAAAAAATTTAAAAAAAAAAAAAAAATAAAAAAAAAAAAAAAAAAAAAAAAAAAAAAAAAAAAAAAAAAAAAAAAAAAAAAAAAAAAAAAAAAAAAAAAAAAAAAAAAAAAAAAAAAAAAAAAAAAAAAAAAAAAAAAAAAAAAAAAAAAAAAAAAAAAAAAAAAAAAAAAAAAAAAAAAAAAAAAAAAAAAAAAAAAAAAAAAAAAAAAAAAAAAAAAAAAAAAAAAAAAAAAAAATCTCTTCGATTAGTTGACTCTCTTTGTTTAGTTTAACTTCTAAACGGTAAATCTCTGTAACGTTTGTCAACATTATCACTTAGACAAATTGCTGAGCTTTATTAGGTCATTTCAATGTTTTCTGTTGTGGCTGAAACTTTCTTGTCCCGAAATAGTCGAAATCGCTTCTCATTATCGGGCATCTTGTCAACAAGGGGTTTTCCTCGAGTTTCCGGAATCGTCAGCGTGAAAACTATGAGATCAATGGAGACACTCGCGAGCATGATCACTGTGGGAAGCCATTGTCGATCACCTGACTAAAATTTTTTAATTATACTTAATTCTAGCTTTAAAATGATCTAATGAATAGGTTAATCCCTTAAACATTAATTTTACTTTTTAAAGCATTAAGAAAAACTTTAAATAAATAGACTATAAGAAAGTGTAAACGTTAACTTTTTGAAGTGTTTTACGCTGAAAAATGAAAACAACTGAATCAAAAAATTTAAATCACAGTCAGAATTGGAAGAAGTTTTAGAAAAGAATGGTTTAAAGACAAGCCAGGGTTGTTCAAAAGTATTTTTTTATCAGGCTAGAGCCAAATTGAACCAGGTTAGAGCCTGGCTTTGTAAAGAATGTTTCAAAGTTGACAAATTGCATAGATTAGATGAATAAAGAAAAGCAAACTCACAATAGAGTAAAGGTGAGGAGCAAGAATCGGGCCGATACTCTCAATGAACATTGTAAACGCGAAGGCCGTGTTCCGTAGTGCTGTCGGAAAGGCCTATTGTTTATAAGCTTTCAAATTGGGAAGTAAAAAAAGGTAAATCTAGAGTTGAAGTAAAAAAAAACGTAAATCTAGAGTTAAATCTAGAGTAATGACAATTACTCTGTACTAGTATAAGTATCATTTTACCTCGTTGCAAATGATGCCTAACACGGCGAAAAGTTGAATGATGATAGCGGCCGTTGTGAGCAGAAAGATCCGAGCAAGAAACTCAGGAGCATCTGGAAAAGTATTAATATTGGGTTGGTGAATTGAAAACTGCCGGCTATTGTCATATGTGACAATTTGAGCAATTTCTTCAAAAGAAACCCATTTTGGTGTCAATGGAAAAGTTGTAGAGAATCAAAAATTAAGCTTATAGCCAAATTTTCAGAACGATTCAAAAACTAGTTTTCAAGAAATGCCAAATTTACGAATTTTCACAAAACTTGCATTTTAAGCGAAACTACTAAGTGTATCTTTTTGGAAATTTGGCTATAAGCCTAATTTTTGATTCTCTACAACTTTTCTATTGACACCAAAATGGGTTTCTTTTGAAGAAAGTGCTCAAATGCTCAAACTGGGACATCTCCAGTCCTCAATTTTTGAGTCTCACACTTGTCTCACACACAAACCAAAATCCTACTACGAAAGAGGAATCCGAAAATCCGCAAATTGCCTGTAAAATGGGCAGAAGTCGTCAATAATAATGGAAATTATTTGGAATGAATTCATGGTTTTATGTTGAATAAATTTTAGTTCAAAGTCCGGCAGTTTTCAATTCGCCAACCCAATAGTATACTTTTTTTTATTGTCAAACTTTCGTCTCTTTACAAAATATTATTTTCTTGAATAACTAACCCAAAAGCTGGCCGGCTATCGAGATTGATAAGGCGATCATTGTGGCCACACAAAAGAAACGGTGAGTCGTCTGAAATTATCAATAATCAACAAAAAAAATGACAACTAAATAGCCAAAGAAATTAACTAGCCTAAAAACGAAACAAACTCACCTTCCTGCCTAGCCAAGTTAACTTGTACTCGGCGAACGCTGAGAGCAGGTTGAACGCGTAGCGCACAGTGCCGACGATGAGCAAGTTCTGATACATCGATCCGGTGATCTTCTCCAAGTTAAACAACAACGAGTAGCTTATAAAACCGGCTTCAAAGCTGAATTGGTAAATTTTCGATAATCGACAGTTTCTACTTGCTGAAGCAGGTCGCTAGCGTTAAACCGATGAGTTGAGGAGTGCAAAAGAGGTGAAGGAACGAATAGGATTCCACCGTTACTTTCTTAAGTTCATTGAGATACCAAATCATAAATATAATAATAATCATAAAAAACTAGATCACAAAACTAGCAATAGCTAGTTAACTTTATTCGTGTTTTAGAGAAAAATATTCTTGGTTATTAAGTGAAACCTCTTGGCTTTCGTTTTCGTCTCGAAACACCTCCTCCAACTCTTTCAAATCGAGCTTCTCATTGTTTATCTATAAATTCCATTTTTTATTGTATTAGGTACATGCATAAGAAATGTGGATTTCAACATTTTCATAGATTTCCAATGGTAGAAACCTGAAGTCGATGAATGTTATAAACTATTTGAAAGTTGTAAATCTCCTCTACAAAATAGGCTAAAACGTGTTTCAATTGATCGAACCATTGAAGAAATTTCGAGGGCCAAATTCGAGTGACCAAAAAAGGAATTGAGTCACTTTAGGGACAAGTTTAGTGTGGTCAAAATGCCATCATGCCCCATGACCTCAATAACCCCCAGAAGTGGCAGACATATTCGTCATGTCATGCTTCATGAGTTCCTACAAGAGCATAGTGCGGGCTTGGCAGCTGCTAATATTAAAAAGATATAAGAAAAAGGTATCCTTTTTTGTTAAATCTTCAATTTTGGGAAGCTAACTCTATTTTGAGCACACTAAACTTGTCCCTAAAGTGACTCGATTCCTTTTTTGGTCACTCGCATTTGGCCCTCGAAATTTCTTCAATGGTTCGATGAATCGAAACACGCTTTAGCCTATTTTCTAAAGAAGATTTACAGCTTTCAAATAGTTTATAACATTCATCGATATCAAGTTTCTATCGTTGGAAATTTATGAAAATGTTGAAATCCGCATTTCTTATGCATGTACCTAATAATTTTACTTTTTGTTACTTTATGAAATCGTCTGATCACTTCAATCGATTTTTCCGGTTTACCACTTCGCAGCAAGTAATGTGGCGTCTCGTCGAGATAGCACATGATTAACATGGCTGGTAGGGTGATCACGCTGATCACAATCGCGAAAACTCGCCACGTTTGAGAGAAATAGGCTAAATAGTTAATAGGAAGTAAGAATTTTTTTTTTTCCTTTCAACCTATGGTGGTGACCACCAAAAGATTTGGTGACCAGTTGAGAATGTAGGCTAAGATAAGCCGATGTCGGGACGGGAAAAACTCGCCGAAGAACGTGTTGGCAACTCTAAATACAGGATGGCTGCAAATTATCGCCTCGCAGCTTTTGGGCTTGATCTTGGCTATAGCTTCGCGAGCTGGTTTAATTCCTTTTTAATATGAAAAATGCGATAGTTTTCTGTGGAGCATTTCTTTATACAAATTATAGGATGCTTTTAAGGTTTTTATTAAAGGCTTGGAAGGTGCGCTTAAGAAAATTCTTGGTGCACAACATTATTCAAGCTTTTTCTAATTAACTTTTCTTTTCTTTTCAAACTGAAATCACTTTTCTCTCTTTTTTTAATAAATTTAAGCCTAAAGAGTAACATTTGAATAATTCTTTAAATTAACTTTGTTAGCTTTAAGTTAACTTTGTTAACTTTAATTTAACCGATGAAATTTGCCAGTTTCAAGAAAAATTCATCTTTAAGAAGCTGATTGATTCATCCAGAACTCATAAAAACATTACATGGTTAAAGGCTTTTGTTGAAAAACATTTGTTTTAAGCTTTTTAACTAGAAAAGAGTCAAACAAATCATGTGAGAGCCCTTAAAATCTGTTCATGAAAAGCTGTAGATTGAGTCGCGTATCAAGCGGTTTTTTTGGGTGCATCTTTCAAGCCTTTAATATTAGGTACTTGCAAAAGAAACTGCGGGTCATAAAAACGATCATACAACGACTGTAAGTAAAAATGATCCGGATTGGTTAGTATTTTTAGAAACCCCAATAGCTTCACTTTTTAACGATATAAAAAGAATTCTATAATAATTGTTTCTGAGCGGAATATAGACGTTTTAAGAAGGTACCAAACTTGGCGGCGGCTTAAAACTTATAATAAAGGATTATTTTTGACAAAATCCTGGTCAAAAGTTGTTGTTGTTGTTGTTGTTGTTGTTGTTGTTGTTGTTGTTGACAAGTTGTTGTTGACAAGTTGTTGTTGACAAGTTGTTGTTGACAAGTTGTTGTTGACAAAAAGTTGTTGACAAAAAGTTGTTGACAAAAAGTTGTTGACAAGTTGTTAACAGATTAGAAGCCCAAATTTAACAAAAGCTATTTACAGAAAACTAAAACAAATTGGGTGGAATATTCCTTTCAAAAGAAAGTTTCGTAAAATTCTTTTTATATCATTAAAAAAGAGAAGATATTGGAGTTTCTAAAAATACTAATCAACCCGGATCGAATTACTTACAGTCGTTGTATAGTGGCTTTTTTTAACCCGCAATTTCTTTTGCAAGTACCTAATAAAAATCCCAAAAGCATCCTATAATTTGTATAAAGAAATACTTCATAGAAAATTATCGCAATTTTCATATTAAAAAGGAATTAAACCAGTTCGCGAAGCTACGGACAAGATAAACCCCAAAAACTAAGTTGTAAGTTGGACAGAACATCAATTATTGTAACCTCTATGAATTTCTCAATTATTGTAACCTTATAACTGTTTTCAAATGAATTTTCATGTAGCCTTTTATGCTATTAGATAGCTTTGATTATCTATTTTCTTTAGAAAATAGATAACGACGGTAAAACAATTGTTAAAGTTGAATTGAATTGAAGTTGAAGCTTATAAGTGTAGTACACTCATACAGCTAGTATAAGTGCTCAACTCACATTCCACTGCCGATCACGAAAAAGGAGACAAGCGTTCGCAGAATGGTAAACATGCGAATATCGTGGGTGAAAACAGACGCGATCCCGAGGAGTCCCGTGAAAATCAAAGAAATGATCATTGATCGTTTTCGCCCAAAACGGTCAGCAGCTCGACCCCAAGCAATCGATCCCACCAGAAAGCCGATCATCTAAAATTTATAAGAAGCTTTTTGATTTTTTTAAACTCTTTTAGCTTCTTTAGCTAACTTCTTTAGCTAACTTCTTTCGCTAGCTTCTTTAGCTAGCTTCTTTAGCTTCTTTAGCTAACTTCTTTAGCAGCTAAGTTGTCAACGATTATTTTCTTGCGCATGTTACACATAGGAAATGGAAAAAATAAAAATTTCAATCATTACAAGTTGTTCTAACAAGGAGAATACTTAGGGTCATTATGGAGTTTTGACTAGCGCCTTGGCCCATAGTTATAAAATACAGTTTATTTCATTTTTAGCCTTAAAGAGATATGGTGAAAACTTTTAAGCTCAATATCTTACGTTTGTAGGCCATTGAACAAAAAGCTCGGGAGGGGATTGAGCTCGGGAGGGGATTGAACCCTTGACCTTTTTGCTTTCCGGGCAGATGCTGTAACCACAGAGCTATCCGGTATCTTTTAGAAAGTAGAGAAGAAAGAGGAAATACAAGGGAGAAGAAAAAGGAAGAAAGATAAGGAAATACCCGGTTCTTCGCAATCGTGAGCTCCTATTTGAAGATCAAAACACGAGCATTAGTAATAAAGTAAGGAATGTCAATGAAAGATTTCTGGAGAGGGAGATTGAACCCTCGACCTTTTTATATTACTCTATTATAACGGCAGATGCTCTATTATAACATTGTAACGTTTGTATTATAACGTAAAATATAATAAAGACAAATTTAAGGTATCAAACCTGATAAGATGTGCTGTCTTTGACTTCTTTCTTCCGATCACAGAGCAGATTCCACTAAACACACAAAGCTTTTGTAGAAAGCTTTTTTATTTGAACTTACTTCAACGTTCACGGAATAAAAATCATGCTGTAGAGCCGGATTTGTGCAGTTCCCTGTGTTAAACTGTGAACAAAATCCATCATTGAGAAACGTTTCGCGGGTCGTTACGAGGCTGCCATCTTTGTCACAAGTGATGATCAAAGCATCAGCACCTAAACTGCAAAGTAATTCATTATCTAAACACAAATTCAATTCACAATTCAATTCACTGTTTCTGCATTCATTTATAGTCTTTATTTTGCTATTTTTAGCTTTATTTTGCAATAAAAATCCATCAAAATAGCATAAACTCCAGAACTCACCAGCAAAAACCATAAACAACAAGTTTCCACATTCAGCCACCATCACAAGCTGTAAATTTCTGTAATTTATTGGTGTTAAATTGTTATTTATTAAAAACTATACAAATTATTGTGTAATTAACAAATTTAGCAATCAACCTCAATGAGAATCGCCGTTAAAAAGCCATATCGTCCAAATAACAAAAAATCGTCGATGCATTTCTTCTCGGGCATAACTAAAAGTTATAAATATTGATAACTTACAGTTATTCAGTTATTTGCGTTTCATTGGCAAAACTTGGCAAAACTCAAATGGTTTTGGTTAGAAACAAGAAATTCGAGAGCATGCTTAATCGAAAATTGAGCGGTATATTCTATAAATTGAACGGCATAACTAAAAGTTTTAAATATTGATAACTTACAACTAAATCCTAAAAAGAAAAAGATTATCTTTACGAGATATTGATAAATTATTGGGGAAAAACCCGTTCCCAAATTCACACATCGCGTGTCTTTTTGCTTCCTTTTCCTTTCTTTTCGCTTTCTTTCGTTCTTTCGATCGTTACGCGATCTCAAGTCTTTTACACTCGAAAAGTATCTTTTTCTTTTCTTTTCTTTCTTTCTTTTCTTTCTTTCTTTCCTCTCTTTTCTTTCTTTTCCTTCTTCTCTTTCTTTCTTTTCCTTCTTCTCTTTCTTCTCTTTCTTCTCTTTCTTTCTTTCTTTTCCTTCTTCTCTTTCTTCTCTTTCTTCTCTTTCTTCTCTTTCTTTCTTTCTCAAAATACATAAACTTGCAAAGAGCACGAAAGGTTGTGAATTGTGGTCAGTTATTTGCAACTTTCATTGGCATATTATTTCATTGGCAAAACAAGCAAAAGTTTTCATATTATTTCATTAGCAAAACTTGGCAAAACTCAAATGGTTTTCGTTAGAAACAAGAAATCCAAGAGCATGCTTAATCGAAAATTGAGCGGTATATTCTTAAAACGAATCCTAATTGAATGTCCATAGGTAACGGGTTTTCTCCTTCAAAAATTAACCATATTTTCAAGCTTTTTGAAGTAGTCAATCCAACAATGCAAACTGAAATTGCGACTAAAACATTAAAAGAACAAACTTTGAGTTCCCCGGCCGGGGACTTTGAGTTCCCCGGCCGGATGCATGACCCCCTATTCACAAAATCATCAAAAAAATTAACTTTTTGTGTGGCGCCTGAGGCAAAATCAATTCTGACACCACGATGAACCTTAAAAAATGAACGAGAAAATTTTTCCAGACTCAAACCGATGACCACCTTTTTTCCGGGCACTGATATTTCGTAGCCGATTTTGAATGAGTGGTTCTAGGTTCTCAATGAGTGGTTCTCAGCCATCAAATATTTAGTATCATTCATATTATTATATAAAAATAGATATTATAGAAGAATAGAAGAATAGAAGACCAAAGCTGGGAAAATTAGGCGATAGCGTGAGAGAATCAGGCGATAGCATGAGAGAATCAGGTCTCTAAGGTGCGGAGCCATAGGCTAGGAATATTATAGGCGCCTACAATTCTATATTTCTATTTTTCATAGAAAAATAGAAAATTCGGACGTCCGAATCCGAACATAATGATGATCGTGTTCGAATTCGGACATCATGTTCGGATTCGGATGAATAGAATGAATGTGAGAGATTCGGCGCCGACTGCTGAGCGAAATGATGTCTCCTTGAGCAGGGATTGCTGTTGTGACATCGACTGTTGCACAAAACGTTCGACTTGAGGCATACGCATCGACCATTTACGCAACCATTTGTACAATTACAGTGCTTGTGCCCTAAACAAAAGCAATTAAACAAATGCTACAAAAAATACCTTGAGATCCGGTGAGAGATTCGGCGCCGACTGCTGAGCGAAATGATGTCTCCTTTTGTCCGTGTCCATGATCCTTGTGTGTTTTCATCAACAGTTCAAAGAGATTTTCCTTGATGATCACTCGTTTCATTTCTCCGGTTCTTCCAATGTTGTAGATGATGTCCAGATCGTTCTCCTTTTGCAAAGTAAAGCGCGCCAACAAATTGATTTCTTCAGGAGTCCTTTTTCCTTTTGTATCTTCGGAACATGACGACTTTTCGGATTCAAACGTAACAAATATACTGCATAGAGTGCATAGAGTTCCCTTTCTTTAGTTGACTAGCCACTAAGCATTGCCTACATACATTAAATGATATCTTAATTGAATAGCCCCGGGTGTGAGTGTTATAATGACAATAATGAGTGTTTAAGCCTAAGCCTAGTCACATAAAAGTGGGGTAGCGTGAAAAGGGAGAACATCGAACTCTATGAACTCAACTCTAGGGATTCTGCTATGCAAATGATTCTATCTATGCATTCTAGGAACTCTGCATTTCGCTATCCCTTCTATACTTTCTATGAACTTTATGCATTTCGCATTTCTTTAATAAGTCAACTGTTCGATGTGGTTACAGCGAAATGCATAAAGTTCATAGAAAGCTTTGATCAGCTTTGATCATCAGCTTTGATCATCAGCTTTGATCATCAGCTTTGATCATCAGCTTTGATTGCCACAAGCGATTGCTACAATTGCTCATAGATTGCTACACTGCTACATAGAATTGCGATTGCTCATAGATTGTTACAAGCGTTACTTAAGCCTCAATAAAACTCACGTGTATCACCTTCTTGTTGCTCTTTGTCTCGAACATCTTCGCTTTCTGGCATCTCGTCACATGAAATAATCAAAAAATTAAGAAAAAAGCTAAATCTAAAATAACCATGAGTACAGCGTGTTTTTTAAGAAATTGCGTTGTACTCACCATCTTTTACAGCCCAAGCAAGCGTTTATAAAAAGCATGATAAGGGCTAGTTTTCTTGTTGCTGTTTTCTTTTAGATAACTTGCATTTTTTTTATTTTCTATTTAAGCCCTTTTTTTATACTTTTCATTAACTTTTAATACTTGAATAGAAACTATAATAGAAAAGTAACAAAAAAAAGAGTCAAGACCTGTAAGTTAGCCTTTTGCGAGCTTTTCTCAAGAAAAATGTCTTAAAGATTTGTCGTATGGGAAACCCTCGGGATTTATTATACTACAATATTAAATCTCTCTGAGGCTTTAAGTCAAATTTTATTGGGTTGTCCAGTTATGAATGCGCGTTTTTTACTATTTTGTAAATTTCTCATGATACCGAAATCGAGAAAAAGATATATATGAGTATTATTCGAAAGCTGAAGATCTCCTCTACATTTTGGAATAAAAAGTTTTTGAATTTGTTCAGTTTTTGGGCAAATTGACTGCACAGAAGAAGAGGTGGCCAAAAAATGGAAGGGTGCCTTTGGATCAAGTTTTGGCTCCGCTCAAATTGAGTTAACCGTTTGATGTTTGGCCAATAGATATATCAATACAACTTTTTTAAAAATATAATGATTTCAGAGCATCTTTACTTTTCTTTTCTTTTCTGGGCGGTTATTTTACACCATAAAACTTGAGGAATAGCTACGCTGGAGTGGGTTTTTTCGAAAACGACCTCTCCCTTTGTGCAGTCAATTTCCCAAAAGCTGAACAAATTCAAAAACTTTTTTATTCCAAACTGTAGAGGAGATGTTCAGCTTTCGAATGATATATAACACTCATATACATCTGTTCGATATCTTGAGAAATTTACAAAATAGTAAAAAACGCGCATTCATAACTGGACAACCCAATAAAAAGCCAAGAATCTGGATGATAAAATTGAATCAACTGTTTGATGTGTTGTAAATCAATTTTTATCATTTATGGATCCAACTTTTTTACAGATACGGTATCTCTTCGGTCTTGGAATATTCGAAATCGTTTCTCGTTGTCGGGCATTTTGTCGACAAGGGGTTTTCCTCGAGATTCAGGAATAGCAAAAGCAAAAACGATGATATCGGCAAAGACCCACGCGAGCATGATTACAGGTGGAAGCCATTTGTGGCTTCCTGACTAAAAGAGATGTTTGAAAGAGATCTTTTTGACTAAATAAAATATTTAGCTTATAAGCTTATAAGCTAAATAAAATAAAGATTAATTAATCGCATTAGGGGCCCCACCACTGAATAGAGATGCGGGGCGAGAATCGGAGCGATACTTTGAACGAACTGCGTGAAGGCATACGAGGTATTTCGAAGGGCCGTTGGAAAGATCTAAATTGAAAAAAACAGGCTTACTTGGAAAAACACAACAGGCTTGCTTGGCTATTAAACAGCAAACAGGCTATTAAACAGCCGAATGCTTGCTAAAAAGCTAACCATTCGGCTGGAAGCTTTGGCTGACAAAACTTGGAAAACTTTCTAATGTTTTTATCGAATGCTATCGAATAAGTTTCTGTTAACAAGTTTCTCTCTATGTTAAAAACTATCAAATTGTATTAGCATAAAGAATTAGACAATTTAACCCATTGCGCACCGGATGAGACTCTAAAGTACGAGTTCGGGTAATGCCGCACCATGTAGCTTGATACCGCACCATGTAGATTTTCTCATGTTCTTTAAAATACTGTCTAAAATAGTTGAAAAATCAAAGGACCTCTCGAATAGAAAATCCCTTTCGAGAGCGGTCGAAAAATAAAAGATCCGGATCTTATTCGATCTTATAAAAGATCTTATTAGAATACAGGATGCATCATAATTATGGGCTCAGATAAATCAGTCGGTACTAATCAAGTCACCCAAAGATATCGAAAAACAAGTCACCCAAAGATGACAAAGTTTTTCTAACAATCTTTATTTATATGTTAACAAGTGTAAAACTCAAATTTCAAAAACTCCTTCGTCAGCGTCTCCGCTGTGACGTGACGTCAGCTTCAAGACATGACCGGAAGGCGTCAACTGTCAACGTCAACGGCAACTGTGGCACGCAAGTAGACAACATCGTCCTATGGTTTAAGGAGCGCTTTCTTTCAACTGTTCAACATCGAACAGTCAACTGTTCGATGTGGTTACAACTCCTTAACTTCTAGGCTTAGGAATTCCCATTTGGCCGACTGATCGCTTCGGGTTACAACGCAATCTCTCTCGCACTTTTTTGATGTTGGACTGAATCACTACAGAACACCGTTTTCCTCGACCAGCTCTATCAGCATTTTTTCCCAATTCCTTGAAGCGTTTAATCTTCTTGTCAAAATCCCAAATTTTGAGAAATTGCACGTGTCAAAAGCCCGCGTCGATGCAACGCTTTGATCGAGTTCCGATGAGCACTCTAAAATCTAAAATCTAAAATCTAAATCTGGTTTGACCATCTCTAAAAAAAGGCCCATAATGATGACGCACCCCGTAATTACGTTAACTGGTTTGTCTGCAGAAATGTAACCCTCAACCCAAACTACATTAAATGGATCTGCTCAAGAACTGCTCAATGGCTCAATGGCTGCTCAATGGCTCAATGGCTGCTCAATGGCTCAATGGCTGCTCAATGGCTCAATGGCTTCTCAATGGCTCAATGGCTGCTCAATGGCTGCTCAATGGCTCAATGGCTTACTAGGTATGATTAGTTTAGAAAATTGTACCTAAAACCAATTATGAAATGCATAATAAACCCTTGAATTATTATCATAATCGTAATTCTTTATCCACTCAATTCAAACCTCATTACAAATGATGCCAAGCACGGCAAAGAGCTGCACAACGATGGCGGCTGTAGTTAGAAGAAAGATTCGGGAAAATAAACTTGGAGCATCTAAAATATTATAAGCTTTTATTTTAATTATTTCAGAGTTAGTGCAAAAAAACTCTCTTTGTTCCAAACTCCAAACCTTAACTGTTTCAGAGTTAGTTCAAAAAGAAAAACAAATTTTCTTCTACAGGGTGCGTCATAATTATTGCAACAAGAGTTCAAAGACCGTTTTCCAAACAGCTTTCTTATTTTTTTTGCCCCCTTTTTTGTTGTGTTGCGTTCTATCTTCTTTATTCTTGCCTAATTGCCTCCCGCTCACACGAAGAAGACGGTTCAGGACTGGTGTGTGGCCAACTTTCCCTCAGTGATTACCAAGGATGAATGGCCTCCAAACTCACCGGATCTCAATGTGATGGACTTTTCCATTTGGGCAATCTTAGAGGCTAATGTCTGCTCTTTGACCTTCAAGAAGTCTTTGACCATTTGAGTCTTTGACCAAAGGATGGAAGGCGACTCCTCAAGATGACATTCGGGCCGCAGTGGAGGCATATCCGAACCGATTAAGGGCTGTTATCAAGGCAAAAGGCGGTCATATCGAATGATCTCTTGTTTCCTTATTTGTTACTGTTAAATAAAGCTATTTCTGTTTAAAAATCTTCTTCCAGTGAAACTTCTTGGTGTGCAATGCCTTGAGTATCTTGTTGCAATAATTATGACGCACCCTGTATGTATTGGGTTGATGGAAAAGTCCTTTCCGATTTTTTGGGAGAGCATCTTAAATTTGTCGAATTTTGACGTTTTATAGCTCATCCTAAAGCTGAATTCAAGACGGATCGATTGGTAAAAACCTTTTTGAGATATCTCTTTTCTAAAAGTTTTTACAGCTATTTTAGTAAAGGGCAGCAGAGCCAAAAAATGGCTGTTTTCACGTTTCGTTAGTTTTCCGTGCAGAAACCTAGGCTAAAAACATGTGTTTCGTGATCAGCGTCAAAAATAACCCCTAGACACGCACGCTCTTATTAATGTACACTACTGGACAATGAAATATCATATTTGAAAAAAGATCGTCACTTTCGCTTCGTCTGTAACTTCCTTGTCTTTGCGTTTAAACTATTAGTGTTATAGATTTTCTGAAAGCTCTTTTCAAGGGCTACACAATGGTAATATTAATATTTAGAAATACAGTAAAGACAAGGGAGTTACAGACGCGCGAAAGTGACGATCTTTTTTCAAATATGATATTTCATTGTTCAGTAGTGTATTAGGTTGATGCAAAAGTCTTTTTCATTTTTTTCGTACTTCCGTTAAAAAGTAACAAATGCACCAATTGAACAACGGTTTATTGCATTCGAAAGGCCAATTATTTTTCTGCAAAATGACATTAAAACGAGTTTAAAATGTCTTATGTCTAGATTTTTTTGAGAGCCTGAAGTCGGGTAGTCAAAAAAGGCGACGGCTCGATGATGTATTTTAGACGCTTTAGCTCAGGAAACCAATCTTGATGTTAATAAATAGAAGATAGAGCACAAAAAGTTAGATATTTTTTCAGATTTTCAGAGAAATTGATTCAGCCAATTTCTTTATAGAGGTTTTTATAGATTTTTATGAAAAACCCGCTTTCACTCTCGAATTTGCTTGAAAGTGAACCCAAATTGACTTAAAAAGATGGGGAAATTCAACAATAAACACTTTTCATTTAGAGCAAACCATAGGTTAATTGATGACTTTGTTATTTTTCAAAAGAAGTACGAAAAAAATGAAAAAGACTTTTGCATCAACCTAATACATTAATAAACTTGAGAGTACGTTACGTACGTTTTGTGTACGAAAAAGACTACAAAAGAGTACGATTTGCGATCAAATTTGATCGGTGAGAAGTTTCAGATCTTGAGAAAACTTGGATAAAACTTTAATTAGTTCGATGTGTTTCGTGATCAGCGTCAAAAATAACCCCTAGACACGCATTTTCAGAATCTTAGCAAAAGCAAAACCAGAAAGGACTTTTCCACCAACCCAATACTTACTTGTGAGATCTCCAATCATCGAAGCAAACAAGAAAATCATGGTGATAACGCAGAAAATGTGATGACTTATCTAGAATCAAGATTATTTACGATTTTCTTAGAAAGCTTAACTTTTCTTCCAAGCCATTTGAATCGATATTCAGCTAAGGCGGAAACTAGATTAAACCCGTAGCGAAAAACTCCGACAATGATTAGATTCTGATACAACGAGCCAGAAACCTTTTCCAAATTGAAAAGCAGTGAGAAACTGATGAAACCAGTTTGAAAGCTTAATTTTTTGAGTTTTGATATCCAAAAAAAGCTTACTTGCTAAGACACAGTGCTACTGTATACGCAATAAGTTGAGGGGTGCAAAAGAGATGAAAAATAGAGTAGGCTTCTGTCTTTGATTTCGTAGCTTCTGTGTCCTGAAGGTAACAAAGTGAAAAGCAGCTTTGTTAATACATAAACATCTTGCTAATAGATAAACATCTTGCTAGTACATGCAGCTAATACATACAGCTAGTACATACAGCTAGTACATACAGCTAGTACATACAGCTAGTAAATACAGCTAGTACATGCAGCTAGTACATACAGCTAGTACATACAGCCAGTACATACAGCTAGTACATAAAGTGAATTGTAAACACTCACAAGTGCCAACCTCAAGCTGTTGTTTCTTCTCTCGAAACACCTCGCCAAGTGCTTTAACATCTACCTCATGTCTGTTTATCTAAAAACTTGATTTTAAGAGTCACTAATGACAAAATACGTTATGTATCCGCTCGAGAACTTTCATCGACTCGTTGGGTTTTCCGTTTCTCAACAAAAAGTGCGGTGTCTCATCTAGAAAGGCCATAATGAGACTGGCCGGTATGGTGGCCACACTGATGATGATGGCGAAAGCTCTCCACGAATGTGAAACATATGCTGAAAGTTTTGCTAATACGGTTAGATCAATAAAAATCGTGTTAATAAGTTTACAAACAGTTTACTATAATAATGCTATCTTTATTCTTTTAATATGTACTCTAGAGTTGTTCATTTTCGGTCTGATTGTCAATAGGTGTCAATAGGTGTCAATAGGTGTCAATAGGTGTCAATAGGTGTCAATAGGTGTCAATAGGTGTCAATAGGTGTCAATAGGTGTCAATAGGTGTCAATAGGTGTCAATTGGTGTCGACAGGTGGCCACTTAACCGCTAATTTTTCAGAAGTTTTTAGACCAAAAGATAGAACTTCGAAAATTCTATTTTTGTGTTGCACGAGATCCTGAAAAAGTTACCGTTGATGTGGTCAAATCTTGTTTTTCCGTCGAACGCCTATTGACAATTAGACCGAAGATGAAGAGCTCTAATGTACTCAGTGCCACTACTGTAAAGAAAGGGCTAGTTGTCGGAGGTAAGAGACTGACTATGTATAAGCTTTTACCAGCTTTTTGTGTTTTTTGACAGTTTTAAAATCTTTCAAAGCCAATGCATCTAGAAAACCCGAAAGATCTGAATTGTAAATGGGATTTATTCAAGAAATAGGTTCTAGTTCTAGTTCTAGCTCTAGTTCTAGTTCTAGTACTAGCTCTAGTTCTAATTCTAGTTCTAGCTCTAGTTCTAGTTCTAGTCCTAATTCTAGTTCTAGTTCTAGTTCTAGTTTAAAAATCATACCTATCCCTGTGACAACAAGAAGATTTGGTGACCAGTTGAGGATAAACGAGAGACCCTGCCGATATCGAGAGGGGAAAAACTCACCGAAAAACGTGTTAGCCACTCTGAAAGCACATTTTTCTAATAACAAAAAGACACTCACATTCCCGTACCGACCACAAAAAACGAGCCAAATGTTCGTAAAATAGTGAAAGTTAGCAAGCTATTTGCAAAAGCCGATGCAATGCCGAAGAGACCGGTAAATATCAATGTGACGAGCATGGCTGGGCGACGACCGAAACGATCCGAGGCTCGACCCCAAATGACAGAGCCCAGCAAAGCGCCAATCATCTAAATTAGAGTTGATGAATAAATAATTACCGTAAATGTGTAAATGCTGTATTAGAATGACACCTCACTTACTTAATATTACTTCATAGTTTTTTTGGGAGTATTGCATTATAGTACCCCCCTCCCGCTCCATTGCAGAGAAAAGGAACCAAACAGATGCATTATCGCCCGGGTATGTTAGTATTACCACCCACCAAACATTGCATTATCCAAATCACCCCACCTTTCTTTTTGGTGGGCGCCGGGGCGATAATGCATCTCCAGAATAGCCCCCACTAAAAGACCGACAAGCTTTTGAACGGCAAATATCAAAGAATAAGTCATGCCATGCAAATTTGACCGTTTCCCTGCCGTTGCCCCTGCGAGGCTACCCTTTTGGTGGCTATTTACCCTTTTGGCTATTTACCTAGGCCTTTATAGTACGTCGAAGTTCTGAGGTACCAACCTCTCAGCAGAATCGCTGCTTGACCGGATTTGCACATATTTTAAAGAATTTCCCGCTTCGTATTTACTCATTTTTGCTGTTGATTAAGAAATAGAATTATTTGGAGCATTTCACATCGGAAGATTTTCAATAATTTCAAAATTTTAAAAGCCAATCGTTTGCCAATCGTTTGAAAGCCTGAAACCTGAGCAGAGCAGCGATACTTTTTGTGAGCCGTACTGGTCATTTGAGTAAAGAAATAAAATGATATTTTCTAATAGAATGATACCCTAGGGGATATCGAAAAATAGAATGACATGTCATTCTAATACAGCATTTACGGTATATGGCTTCAAAGTTGATTAGGGGCTGTCAGGTCGCGACTTTTGTTTCTATCAAGTCGCGATGTTTGTTCCTACTATGCCTACATTAGCATAATTCGGTTCTTGTAAAGATTACGACACTTTTGAGAGTTTACGAGGTTTTTGAAGTCTTTCGGGTCATTTCTTTGAGTTTGAGCTTATTTTTACGCTTTTTACGTCGATGCAACGCTTTGATCGAGTTCCGATGAGCACTCTAAAATCCGTAATGATCCGTAGTGGTGATTCGAGTAAAAAAAATAAAACGATATTTTCTAATAGAATGATGCCCTAGGGGGTTATTGAAAAATAGAATGACATGTCATTCTAATACAGCATTTACGATAATTTTAACTAAGTCAAGTTAATGAGTTTCCTAAAGTGTCCCCAAAATAAGAAAAATTTCAGGCTATTCAACTATTGGGTTGTCCAGTTATGAATGCGCGTTTTTACTATTTTGTAAATTTCTCAAGATATCGAACAGATGTATTAGGTTGATGCATAAGTCTTTTTGTTCTTTTTCGTCTGCCGTTTCAAGCCAACAAATGCACCAATTAAACTACGGTTGATTTCATTAGAAAAAGCAATTATTTTTCTGCAAAATAACATTAAAACGGGTTTAAAAATATTTAATGCCTGGATTTTCTTGAGAGTATGAAGTTGGGTAGTCAAAAAGGGCTAACTCGATGATGCGGTTTAGACACCTTAGCTAAAGAAAACCTATCTTCGTGTCAATAGATAAAAGATAGAGAAAAAAAACGTTTGATATGTTTGATAAAGTTAGTTTATTTCGCCAAAATTTCAGAGAAATTCATTCAGCCAATTTTTCCGTAGAGTTTTTTATAGATTTTTACGAAAAAGGCGTTTTTCACTCTCGAATTTGCTTGAAAGTGAACCGAAATTCATTTAAAAAGATGCAAATTGAACAAAAAAACACTTTTTTTATAGAGCAAACTATAGATTAATTCGTGAATTTGTTACTTTTTAACAGAAGTACGAAAAAAACGAAAAGACTTATGCATCAACCTATTATATGAGTGTGATATATCATTCGAAAGCTGAAGATCTCCTCTACATTTTGGAATAAAAAGTTTTTGAATTCATGCAACTTTTTGGGGAAATTGACTGCACAAAGGGAGAGGTCGTTTTCGAAAAAAAAACCCACTCCAGCTTAGCTATTCCTCAAGTTTTATGGGGTAAAATAACCGCCCAGAAAAGAAAAGAAAAGTAAAGATGCTCTGAAATCATTATATTTTTAAAAAAGTTGTATTGATATATCTATTGGCCAAACATCAAACGGTTAACTCAATTTGAGCGGAGCCAAAACTTGATCCAAAGGCACCCTTCCATTTTTTTGACCACCTCTTCTTCTGTGCAGTCAATTTGCCCAAAAACTGAACAAATTCAAAAACTTTTTATATCAAAATGTAGAGGAGATCTTTAGCTTTCGAATAATACTTATATATATCTTTTTCTTGATTTCGGTATCTTGAAAAATTTACAAAATAGTAAAAAACGCGCATTCATAACTGGACAACCCAATAATTATCAATTCAATATTTAAATAATTTAAAGAAATCTAATTTACCTTTTCATCAATTTGTATTAAAAATTAATTTTTTGACGGAATACGGTAACTTTTTGATTAGGAAATGCTTTAGGAAATGCTTTTTCTAGGAAATGCATTTCCTCACGATCAAACTGATCACAATCCTCAAATCGCGATCAATCTAAGCTGATGGTTTTACACTCTTAAGTGTAATCTCTTCAAGTTTTAAACACTAAGCTCATTAGAACACAAATTGTCTAGTTTTTATTGAAGTTTTATTATTATATAACTTCTAGAAGAGTCCTTTAACTTTTAGAATCATCTTACCAAAATTTACAATTGCCATCAAGCTTTTCGGAAGTTATTGAAAAACTAACAAAGTTACTTTTTGAAAAAGTTATTTCTTTCTTTCTTTTCTTTCTTTTCTTTCTTTTCTTTCTTTTTTTCTTTTCTTTTGAACATTTCTTTTATACTGAAAAAGCTCACTTGATATGACGTGCTGTCCTTGACTCTTTCTTTCTTATCGCAGAGGAGTTTCCACTAAACTTGTATTGCTCTTTGCTGAAATATAAACCCAATTATTACCTCAACGTTTACCGAACGAAAATCATAATGAAATTTAGAATCAGGACAATCGTCTTGATTGAACATTGCGCAATAATCATCAGATGAATAAGTGACATTTGTTTCAGGTGAATCACTGTGACAAGAGATTATTTCAGCGTCAGCACCTGGGAATTTAGAATACGTATATCTTATTTAAAATTTCCACTTAACAGATAACAATTTTCAGCAAGCCAAAGCAAACAAGCAGCAAGCCAAAACAAGCAAGCAGCAAGCATCAAGCCGAAACAAGCAAGCAGTAAGCAGCAAGCCAAAGCAAGCAAACAGCAAGCCAAAGCAAGCAAACAGCAAGCCAAAGCAAGCAATCAGTAAGCTAACTGTCTCATTATGATCTTAAACTTTTGCTATACATCTCTCTCACCTGCAAATGTCATAAACAACAAATTTCCACATTCAACGATCATCACAAACTGAAATCAAAAGAACTTAATGTTTCAAAGCCCGAGAAGCTTACATTAAACTCAAAAAAACTTTGAGTTTTTATTTCGGTTAAGCTTATTAACAATTTTGGCCTTTCTCACCTCAATTAAAATCGCAAGCAACAAGCCATAACGACCGAACAGCAGAAAATCGTCGATACTCTTCTTTTCAGACATCAGGAGATTTAGTCAAAACCCCAAAATAACTTGGAATCAAATATTGAGCAACCAGCTCTTCGAAATCTGTTTTTCAATGTTATCAGAAATGTCAGAAATCAAGCGCTTATCGCTTTGCATGGGCGCTTTTTCCGCCCAGCTGTGAACAGGTCGGGTGATCCTTGCAACCGTTCAGAAGGATTTTGATCTTTGATTATTTCTATTTAGGACAATCAAGCGAACAGAAAAGGCTCAATCGCAAGCTGAAAGGTTTTTCTGAAATGTTTTTTTATGTTTCGGCTTTACAAACTGTTTTTTTTGGTTCCTGTGACTAGAGTGTTCTTTTCAAACAAAACTAATCGGTAAACATTTGGCTTATGCAATTGTTACTTATACAAATCTTGACTTTTGCTTGACTTATGATTGATAAACTTGTGTTTTTTGATTCCTGTTAGGCTGCTTCTCACTAACTTTTCCATTGTGTGAGGCTTAGATCTTAAGGCTTAAGATCGTAGCGTTAGGCAAAAAAAAAAACTCTTCAATATCTATCAGAATAAGTGTTACCTGATAGATTATCTATAATCTATCAGAATCAGTGTTTAAGGGCGTGTAATCGATAATTTGTTGCCTTGTTCGTGTGTGGCGTGTGCCCGGATAAGTAACAAAATAGCATATTTTGATAGAGCAGATGAACAAAAGTTTTGCATTTCTTTGTCATTTACTCAAAACTGCTGTCTGTCTAAACAACATTTACATTTACTGTCTAAACAAGAAGAACACTATCTAAGCAAGAAGAACACTGTCTAAGCAAGAAGAACACTATCTAACTAGCGCTATCCGACGTTATCTGTGTCTATTTCGAGAGATACCGCATCGTAAACACTCTGTTTTATGATTGCCAGTGAGCGTCTATTTTTCTCAAAAGGTCTCAGGAGATTGGCAATACAGAAAAAAAAATTGGTTCTGCAAGAACTTTTCTGAAATTTTAAAAAGATTCTGGTTTATATTTGCTGTATTTTTTGTTTGCTTATCTTTAGTTATAAGTTGTTTGGCTTGTTTACCAAGATTTTCCATTCAGATTAAAATTACCTTATTCTCTCTAATAGTAGTGCACCCTGACCGCTGCCTAAATTGCTCGAAATCTCGAGAAGCGCTTATCAGAACCTATCGATGTGGGGTCGGAAAATGTAGCTGACGATGAGATCTTGCTGGGGGATTTGAGTGTTGAGCTTCTGCGAAAACTTAGAAACCGTAAAATAGTCACCAACTCGGCCACCAACTCGGCCACCAACTCGGCCACCAACTCGGCCACCAACTCGGCCACCAACTCGGCCACCAACTCGGCCATCAACTCGGCCATCAACTCGGCCATCAACTCGGCCATCAACTCGGCCATCAACTCGGCCATCAACTCGGCCATCAACTCGGCCATCAACTCGGTGGCCACCAACTACTATTAGAGAAAATACGGTAACTGCTATTATCCAAAAAGTACGATTAACTATGCAATCCAGAAATAACAAAGCAATTGGAGTTCAATGCTTTTGAAATAATTTATCAAAAAGTTTCTGTGATTTTTCTGAAGTTCAAGTTCAAGTTCAAGTTACTATGCAACCAAGGCGTAACAAAGCGATTACGTTAAGTGTTTCTGACAGATTAAGGTTTCTGTTTTCCTAAATAAATCGCAAACAGTTTTAAGTTATGCAATTTATTAAAAGTAAACGTTTTGTTTTGTTTTGTGTCTTCTATTGAGCCTTTGGTGACAGCTGCTCCCATTGTGCTTTCAACTGAGTGAAATAGTCGTCTTGATTTGCTCCAGTGTACATTTCCTAAAAAGTATTGAATAAGCAAGAATGCTTTTTTTGTTCTTTTTTCTGATCCTATTGTTTTCTTTCATTTTAAGTTAAATATTATTTGCGTAAAATTTCAGATTTGGTCTCTCAATCGTCTCAAAGTCTCAAAGAAACGACCATAATGCGAAAACCGATAATGCAAAGTTTTTTAGAGCTTTGAGACAGCAATAAATACTTAAATCGAAGCCTTCTAGGCGTAGTTTTGCACTTTCTTTCCAAAAAAACACGATTTCAAGATGATTAGAGCACGGCATCAACAAGAAAAACAACGCTGAAAAATTTTGTTTTATTCAAACCCTATTTTGCGCACCCCGAAATGTATCAAAAATTAAAATAATTTTAAAAAGTGAATACACCATCTTATAGAGCTCGTTTTAAGCTTTCAGAATCACTGTAACAGTTCTACTTTACGATGGAAAGTCTCGGAGTCATAGCTCTTCAAAGATGGAGAAAAATTCGTGGGGTAATAATGTCTTGTCCAGTATTGTAGTTGACATACTTAAACAATATAAAATCCCTAAAGCCAAGCAAAAACAGAAAAACCACAGCTTAAAGCTATTTAATAATGAAACCGCTGTTTGACGAAATTTCGTTATCTGTCAAATACAACGATTCCTATTCGATAACCCAAATGTATTAGGGTGTCCGAAATGAAAATACCCTCAACTTCGATTGCAATTTTTTCGGTGTAGCGGCCAGCTTCGCGTCTGATTTTTGTTTTGTTTTAAATTTATATATCTTTTCTAATTCTATGTTTTTATAAAAATTTACTGCCTTACAATTTTGACTTTTTTCGAATGGAAGATCAGAAGTACCGAATTCGGGTGTGCTTGCTCTACGACTTTAAACAAGGAAAAAGTGTCCGGGAGAGCCATAGTTCAATCTTGAAATTTTTTGGGGGAGCTGCTTATTCAGAGGGAAGCTTGTAAAAAATGGTTCCAACAATTTAGAAAGAGAGAGACGAAACTCTACAGGATCGAGGACGTGGTCACCTCCCTTCAGCGCTCAACGATGACGATCTTCAAGAAACCATAGAAGATGACGCAACCTTGCCGACTCGGAAAATTGTAACAATGTTTGCTGGAGGCCACACAACAATTGCGGACTATTTACATCGTTTGGGTAAAGCGAATCTCGTCGGAAAATGGGTACCCATCATTAAAAGGGTATTTTCATCCCGGACAACCTAATATTTAATCGTTCATTCATTCAGACTCTTGTTCGGTACGCGATTAAGCTTCGTTTTTTCCCACCCTTCCATTCGCATCTCGCACACGCTTTTCCCCAACGGTATTGGCTTTCACTGGCTCGGGATCAGCGTCTTTTGGCGTTACCCTAAACTTGATCATTTACTCAATAAATCTCTTTTGCCGTACCTTTTCATTTTTGTGTAAATAGCCTTCTTTGCGATCTCAAACATTTGTCGATCACAACAGAAAAGCATAATGGCAAACATGAAATATTGACTGAAAAATTTGTGATAACTTATACTGTGATAAATTTTCACAAAGCCAGCTGCACATTTATGATCATCCCCAAAATGTTCCGTGTTGCCCAAGAGGTGTTTGAGAAGTGCCAATAAAATAGAAGAGAGTAGACAATGTTGTTGATTGCCGTGTGAACGATGTAACACATGGTGGCCTGGAAGTTGCACTTTTGAAATATCTTGTTATTCTATGGAAATTCCCACAAACACATTTATTGTCCTGAAATTACCTTCATCACTTTTGCGTTGACTGTAAGCAAATAAGCTTTACTTAACGTGTATCCGGTAGAATGTAACGTTTTTCTTCGCTTCTCGTTCGCTCTTGTCATCAAAACACCGATCTATCGACTCTTGTAGTACATTTTTTTACCATTCCTACCAATCCAGAAAGCAATGACGCAACAATCTCCGCATTGTTCGAAATGAACCTCGGGTACCAAGATAGAGCTAAAGTTTCTTAGAGCTAAAGTTTCTAAGAGCTAAAGTTTCTCAAAGCTAAAGTTTCTCAGAGCTAAAGTTTCTCAGAGCTAAAGTTTCTAAGAGCTAAACTTTCTCAGAGCTAAAGTTTCTAAGAGCTAAACTTTCTCAGAGCTAAACTTTCTCAGAGCTAAAGTTTCTTAGAGCTAAAGTTTCTTAAAGCAGAAATCGGAGTACTACCGAAAAAGTAACAACACGTGAGCGCCGCTGAAGCAGTGCATCCAAAAATGACCAGGCCAACGAAAAACGTTCGATAGTGTCGGTGCTCATAGGTGGCGAAGGCGATCGTGGCAATGCTTCTCTCGATCATCACACCAATCAAGCCAGCTGTAATCCGGGCAAATTATAGTCAAGTTTTGGATGAGATTTTTTTCCCATCGCGAAAACTAGCCAAAGAAACCTAGCCAAACTTGGAGCTAGCCAAACTTGGACCTAACCAAACTTGGACCTAGTCATACGTGGACCTAGCCAAACTTGGACCTAGCCAAACTTGGACCTAACCAAACTTGGACCTAGCCAAACTTGGACCTAGCCAAACTTGGACCTAACCAAACTTGGACCTAGCCAAACTTGGACCTAGCCAAACTTGGACAAGATTTTTCTTCTACGCTTTCTCCTTATTCTCTTTTGTTCTGGTTTTCTTTTCTGACAATCAAATATTATTACTAGCTTATTTAGAATGGACCAGACTTAAATTTGTAAACTTTTCACAAAACGGAGAATCAGCTGGCGACTCACCATTCATAATTGTATAAATGTAAACTCGACCAAAAGAAGCAATTTGAAACAACAAAGGACAAATTTCTGTAGCTGAAAGAGTAGCTTTTTTGAGCTAAAGAGCCCAATCACTAACTTTCTTGATAAATTTCACATTGAAGATCAGGTTGAGCCTCGTAAGCGATCATGACAAAACGGCAGATTCCATAGAGATACAAATGATATAGACCGATGTGGATGATTCGTTGCGTGTTGACATGGAAAACCTAAAAGTCTTTTCTTTTAACTAGACGTATTTTTTTATAATCTAAATGTGAAAAAAAAGTGCGATTTTGTAAGTCTACCGTTGTTTTTCCTTTGGTTCTGGTTTTGTTTTTAACTTTTTCTAATAACGATAAGAGTTGTTCAATGAAGGAACCTATTTAGAGTAGTTAAGTTAAACAAAGTATTCAAGTACAATCGCTAGGTAAGTAAATACGCCTTTTTATTCAAGCAGGTAGAGATACAGGGTGCGCCAAAAGTTCCCGTACTTTTATTTTCTGCATTTTTGGTAATTTTAGATAAAAGATACGATTTTAAAAGTAAGAAATTCGAATTTCTCGCAAAAAACTGATTTCGAAAACGTTTCTAGTTAATTTATAAGTGCAACACTATTTGAGAATGAGACAGAACGTTAAGACAAGTGATTGAGAAGAGGGTCCGCTCAGGGGCGCTTTGGTCGCACAGTTACAAGGCACAGTTACAAGGCACAGTTACAAGGCACAGTTACAAGGCACAGTTACAAGGCACAGTTACAAGGCACAGTTACAAGGCACAGTTACAAGGCACAGTTACAAGGCACAGTTACAAGGCACAGTTACAGGGCACAGCTACAGGGCACAGTTACAGGGCACAGTTACAGGGCACAGTTACAGGGCACAGTTACAGGGCACAGTTACAGGGCACAGTTACAGTTATTTCCTTTGATGGAAATTTGTATGGGAAAACCAAGTTCTAAACTGACTTCCGACTCAACTCGACCAAAACTTTATACACCCAATCTTTTGGGGCTTCAGGCCTGTAACTTTTATGGATCAAAAGATTTTCAAGACCCAAGATGTTTTTCGAAAACTAGACATAAAATGTGACATTTTTTATATTGGGTGTATAAAGTTTTGGTCAACGACCGAGTCGGAAGTCAGGTTAGAACTTGGTTTTCCCATACAAATTTCCATCAAAGGAAATAACTGTAACTGTGCCCTGTAACTGTGCGACCAAAGTGCTCCTGAGCGGACCCTCTTCTCAATCACTTGTCTTAACGTTCTGTCTCAATCCTAAATAGTGTTGCACTTATAAATTAACTAGAAACGTTTTCGAAATCAGTTTTTTGCGAGGAATTCGAATTTCTTACTTTTAAAATCGTATCTTTTATCTAAAATTACCAAAAATGCAGAAAATACAAGTACGGGAACTTTTGGCGCACCCTGTAATGGCCACAATGGATAGCAATAAGCTCTGTTGGTTGCTCTATTGTCAATATCATGTAAAACAAGAAGAATATTTACTGAATGCACAGCAACACACGTTTGTAGTTGCAGAAATGTGAAGGCTGAATGGAATGACGAGAAAAGTCACCAAATAAATCAGAGATTCTATGACAAAACTGCTCAAAACGACTGGCCCCATCTCATCCACATAGGCAACAGAGGTATTTATGTAGGAAATCATTTGAAGTTTCATTGAAGTCAATTAAAATAACTATCCAACTGATGAACAGTTGTTCAAGGCATTTTTTTCAATTATTTCCAAAAGAAACTTTTCTGAAGAGAATTAAAATCGGAAAGGTTCAATTTGAAGCGTTTCTCTCCACGTAACAATTTTCACGTTTTTGAACTTTTGAATTCAAGTGAAATTTTTGTATTCTATGCAGTTACTTGTAAAGGTAATAGTAGATTAAAATTTTGCTTTCAAACGGTTTCATTTTCGCTTGAAAAGTTTTACTCATTGATTGCGATTGATTGATTTATCCTTTTATTTTAAAAAATATAAAATGTACTTTGATCATGTCGAGGTACAAAAATACGTTAATACATAGTATCAAATAGGATAGCTTTGAAGTGTGCAAACAAAGTCAAAGTCAACTGACAACTGACAACTGGAAAACAAGGTCGACTGATAACTAGCAACTAGCAAACAAAGTCAACTGACAATCCACTGGCTCTAATAATTCGAAATAAACAAGCCCGTTGCACAGCAAGACACACCAGCATTCCACCAGCAAGACAACATCACTTTGTGCCCATGATAATCTGGGTTTGGAGTTGAAATTGGCCTTTGATCTTTGCTGAGTCTTTTTCGAGAATTGTTATTGAAGTGTTATTGAAGGGACCTTCCCCTTGGGTAATCCTTTAGGAACTTGTTTGTTTTAGGGCGTACAGGGTGATCAAAAAGTTCCCCGCACACTTGTAAATGATTCATTTTCTAAATGAAAGCTCAAACAAAATTTCCCGTGTTTTCTAGTATTTTGAAGCTGAAATTCTGATGAACATTTCTATAAGTAAATTATTCCAATCAGACATTTTCAGCCTTTTCAAGAAGCCTAGATTCGAGACACATCGCTCATCAGATAAACACAGTTTCGCATGTTTTTGAAGACTATCTTACGTTTTTATTTTGACGAGAGATTTGATTCTTTTCAAATAACAATTGAACTGTTACTTAAAACAAAAGTATACGATTAAAAAGGCTTTTTGAAGGATTTTTCAATTGAAAATAGGTTCAAATAGGTGAGCGCCATGACAGTTTGCCTTCAGCGCACTACAATGCTTCTTTGGATCAGGTGGCTCTGGCCATCGAATGGTCTATGGCTAATGTGTGAGCCGGTACACCGAGTTGACCTTCCCTTGTTGGTTCATTTGTTAAAAACCATCTGCAAGTTTCCATAGGTGCTTTCGTGTTTTGTTAAGTTTATGTATTCACTTTCTAAAACATTTATTTTCATCTTGAATCTGGATGTGAAATGCCCGCATACTCATACCGTGTTTTGGCTTACATCCGATTGCTGCTCGATGGCTAGTTGACGATCTCTGGAAACAAATCTTAAGTTTTCTTAAGTCATTGAATACTTTTGAACAAAAATTCAGCATCAATACTTTATCTTTGTCTTTGTAAGATTAAATTTGTCCTGTGTTGCCTTTTTATTGTTGAAATGACACTGGACTTTGGTTGAGCTTCAATTGATTAACCAATAGAATTCAAGCGTAATTCTAAATGGTAGGTCGTAGATGAAAAAAATGAGTGTCTATATTGAGCAAATGAAATTTACAGTTTCTTATTTCTTTCAACTCACCGAAGAAACTTGTAATAGTTCCAGGTGACACTCGCGCGCCACAGGGCGAACAGGGCCACAAGGAACACGATGGCGAGGCTAACTAGAAAAGTTTTTGTAAATAACATGGAAGAACTTAGTTACTTATTGATTTGACAATAACCGTATTGTTTTGTTCTTTCTGCCAGTCGGATTCGTTGTTTGCGGAGAGAGCACTAGAAATTTAGATGGTTGAAAGGAAAAATTATTATCCAGGGCTCAATAATTATCCGGACTCACAAGGGAACCATCCCAAGTTATCCGCGAGTTACAATATTCAATAAAAAAATCAATTTTCTATTAAAACAAAGAGTGAGATGATTGAACATCTGAGTGCTGATTTGCACCTAAAAGACTGACAAGGGAACCATCTCAAGTTGCTCGCGAATTACAATATAATGTAGGTGCCAAAAAAAGACCTGAAAATGTCCGTTCAGAAACTATTTTCAAAAAGCGCTAATCGGCAAAACGCACATTGTTATAGCCATTTGAATTTCGAAAAATGAAGGCTTTTCTCGAATTTCTGGCACACTGATTTTTGAGGCGGAAAGGCTTAGGAAAGGCTTCTTTTCGCCATCCCAAAAATTATTATACAGGGCTCAATAATTACCCGGACTCACAAGGGAACCATCCCAATTTATCCGCGAGTTACAATATTCAATAAAAAATCAATTTTCTATTAAAACAAAGAGTGAGATGATTGAACATCTGAGTGCTGATTTGCACCTAAAAGACTGACAAGGGAACCATCTCAAGTTATCCGCGAGTTACAATATAAGTTAGGTGCCAAAAGGAAAGCCTGAAAAAGTACTTTTGAAAAACTGTTTAAAATTTTTGGGATGGCGAAAAGAAGCCTTTCCTAAGCCTTTCCGCCTCAAAAATCAGTGTGCCAGAAATTCGAGAAAAGCCTTCATTTTTCGAAATTCAAATGGCTATAACAATGTGCGTTTTGCCGATTAGCGCTTTTTGAAAATAGTTTCTGAACGGACATTTTCAGGTCTTTTTTTGGTACCTGTACTATTGTACTACTTCATATTGTAACTCTAAAAAACTCGTGGGTAACCTGGGAAGGTTCCCTTGACCAAACAAATTTCGTTTAAAAATCATCACATCGGTTATTCGTCAAACAGCCATTAACGCACTTAAAAAGCTACTTATAATGAATAAGTTTGAAACATTGACTTTTTCAGTGATTCAAAACTTCACTCAAACATTTTAACGAGGTTTTTTTTAGATTTTAGATGAGATTAGAAGTTAGAGAAACCACTTAGCACTCAAATAACTAACAAAATTTCACACATTTAACAAATAATACTTAAATTTCAGGTTTATTATTGCCAAAAGGCGAAGACGCGGTGTCAGTTGCGGGAACGGTTTTCAACGAGTCTTGGGACAGTAATGTTTGGGAGAATCTGGATGGCGAAAGGAAGCCTTTCCTAAGCCTTTCCGCCTGCAAAAATCAGTGTGCCAGAAATTCGAGAAAAGCCTTCATTTTTTCGAAATTCAAATGGCTATAACTATGTGCGTTTTGCCGATTAGCGCTTTTTGAAAACACTTTCTGAACGGACATTTTTAGGTCTTTCTTTTGGCACTACATTATATTGTACTTCGCGAGCAACTTGGGAAGGTTCCTTTGTCAGTGTTTTAAGTGTAAATCAGCACTCAGATGTTCAATCATCTCACGCTTTGTTTTAATAGAAAATTTAAATATTTGTCTGTCTTTTTTGATTTGTGTCAAAGCTTGGCGCGGCACTTGTTTTTGAAGGATTTAACAAAAATTTTAGTGATCATTTGAGCGTTTCAATGCTAAATTTAGTTTTATTAGGTTACATTTATCTAAAGATTAAAGATTCATATTAAACAGAACTTGAAAAATGAGAATTTCGGTTCGCAAGATCATCGTTTGACAAGCCAACGCATAGACCCCCAAGTGTCTCAAAATAATTGCCTAATTGAGTGTCACATTACCTTCCGATTTCTTTGATATTTGTTTAAAACGTTTTGCAAAAAAAAAGCATTTAAAGACATGCTTAATTTTTGGCGTTTTCTGGAAATGAAAAAAAAAACAAGCCAGGCAACTCCTGATTGCCAACTTTGAGGCTCTATAAAAAAAAGGCAAAAAGGTAGTTTTTTTGTCAAAACTAAGAATCAATTGTAGAAAAATATTTTAAATTTTCTATTAAAACAAAGCGTGAGATGATTGCGCATCTGAGTGCTGCTTTACACTTAAAATACTGAGTCCGGGTAATTACAGGGTGCATGATAATTATTGAGCATTTACTTACAGTCATGCACAAATCCAGTTTAGCAAATTTCAAAGTGTAATATTAGGTTGGTGCAAAAGAAATTTCGGTCGATATAAAATGTTCTTATTTTTTTAATCTGAAGAGCTTATTTGATGTTCTTTTGTGCATTTGTACTCTTGGATATTTACTTTATTTTCGCATTTTTTCAAAGTCAGAGCTTTCACTTTTTAATTGATTTTTGCTTTAGATCATGGTGGATCAAAAGTATGTTCTGCGCACGTGTCTTCTCTATGACTTCAAAATGGGCAAAAACGCTGCTTTGTACACTCTGTCCAGCTGATGAGCATACAAGTCCGCAGTGATCGTTTTTCCATGTTCCAGTAATTCAAAGTACACCAAACCCTTGCTGTTCCACCATACAGACAATAAGATCTTCTTCGCGTGGATTTCGGGCCATGGGGTTAGAAGAGCACGTTCGCCGGCGCTCAGCCACTGTCGTTCTCGCGTCAAGTTGTCGTATGCAATCCATTTCTCATCCGATGTCACGATAGAATCAAGAAATCCGCTATTCTTTGCACGATTCAGGAGAATGCTAGCGATGGAAATGCGGGATGCGAGGTTAGCATCACTGAGTTGATCATCATTGAGGAGAACAACATAACCGAGCCACTTAAGCGAGTTCATTAGTCGCTCTTGTTGTGGTCCTGTCTTGTTTCGAGCAAATTCAGATTCTAGCTTGCTGTGAACTGCCTCAATGCCCTCTTCGGATGCATTTCCGATGAATTTATGCTCATGGGCAAATGGGCCAAGATGTAAGAGTAGAGCATGGACCAGTACACTTTGTCCAAAACCACCAACTTTTTCTAGTTCATCGGAAAGAATCGCTGTTTGGCAGCAATTTCTGGCTTTTGAATGTTTGCCTTTGCAAGCCAAATCTTTTATTTCTTTATCCGAAAGAACACTTTTAGTGGTTGAAGCCATTTGAGACCATTTGTTGAACTCACGTAATGCAGAAATGACTACTTGATAGGAACGGGAGGAAGAAACGACTGCTAAATCAGAAATCACTGAGGATCGACAGAGATTCTTTATATCGTTTCCGTTGAAACGAGCATAGATAATCCCATCACTCTTCCGATCCACATCCAACTTGCATTTTCGACAAACATCTTGGAAAGTCTGAGAGGAGCCTTCGAGTTTCACCAATTGTTCAAAAAGTTGGTTTCCAATCTTGATTTTTGCATGAAGTATTGGGGGAATTACCAAACTTCGAGAAATATTTAATAGATTTTCTTTTTTTGCCTGCAGACCTTTTACTTTTGAAATCATCGCTTCCACCGAAGGGTCACTCCGATCAGCATATTGTTGAAAATCAATTGAATCCTTATCAGCGGATGGTTTTTGTCAAACCTCTTGTTGCACCATAAACATCCAAATGTCATCGCACAGGAAAGACCAAAGTTGGTGTTCAAGAAAGATAGGTCTCCACCGAGAAAAACCATATATCCGGCTTGCACCAAGGTTTCAGAGTCTTTCCAAATTCCCTTTTCCTTCAGCGAGTCGTAAGAATCTGAACCTTCCCAAGCTTGTAATGGAAGACAATTGCGAGACGAGCACGGTTTTTCGCAGATTAGGAATGAAATAGTTGAAATAACTCGGCCGTGCCCTTTATCGAGGGAAAAAATCAGCCGTTTTCCTCGCTCATCCAGCAGACCCAATCTTCTTCGCCGCTCTTCAACAGCTTTCAACACAGCTTCCAATCTTACTCCTTCATTGAGAACTATTTCATATCTGACAAACTGGTCCAGAGTCTCCTTGGCCTTTTCGATAGTTCGTTGTGAGCCAATGGTTACTCCTTGGTTTGATTGAAGAAAATGGTTTACAGCTAATAGTCCTTTATTTGATAGATTGGCACTTTTTTTCATACCGAGCAGAGCTTCTGGAGTTGGAGGAGTCGGTGATTTGGTTTGAATATGTGAGGTTGAAGCAACAGAATCATCATCGTTTTGCTTTGCTTTTGCCACATAGATGGCGTTTTGACGATTTTGCTCGGCTCTTTTCTTTTCATTATCTTTCAAAATCCTTGCCTTCCGTGCTCCTTTCAAATGTGCTTTCCTGTCGAATTCGTTTTCTTTTTGTTGATTGTCTGCGGATCGTGATGAGCTTTCTTCTTTTGATTCCACAGGATTTGCATGAACTTTCCCACTTCGTAATCCGTGCATGTTGTTTTGATTGGTTTGGCGTCCATGTTCCAAGTTGCCACTTCTAGACTTTTTGGCTTCTGATGTTCGTCCCATCTGCAAATTATAACTTTTGTTTTGAAAGTGTTGGAAATACGAATGTAATAGGAAAAATAATAATACGCTAATAATCAAAAATAAATAATCGGAAAGCAAAATTGTCTGTAACTAAATGATTTTCTCCTGCAATTGACATTTATAACTTTATCATCTGTCATGCCTTTGGCATAGTAATTTATCGAGTAATTGTCCTACTATGCCCTTGGCATAGTAATTTATCGAGTAATTGTCAAGGCAGTCTGTATTTGTCTGGGCACCTGGGTTGCCTACCCGAGATTGACAAATACTCTCAAATTTCAACTTTCCTGGAATTGTAACTCTTTCTTCAAAAAAAATTGCGTTCTTCACTTTTTTAGAATAAATTTTTTCTAGACTATACCAGATCTGCAAGTACCGCAGAACCAGAAAAAAACTGCATTCCAGATTATAAAATCGGAGAAAACTAATAAAAAGTCAAAGTTTTTGGTATATTCTTTCCGCCATGTTTAAACGCATAAAAATGCTTTCGAATGATATATAACACTTGATGATTTGACACAAAAGAAAAATTTTACCAACATCAAAGGTGCGCGTGGGCCATATAACCGCGCACTTCTAAAAAACCTAGGTTTCAGAGCTCGCGTTTCCATTGACCAAAACACAAAATTAAAAAACAATTCCCAACCAACTTTTTTGCGTAGAATTCAGAAATTTGCTTTTTGAGCCTAGTTTTTCAGCTAGATTTTCGTGAAAAAAATTATTTTGACTTTTCGGCGCCGAATATGGAAAAAATTTCCTGGAAAAATAGAATTCCACAAAACTCAATTCAGTATTCTGAAAGAGCGTGAAAAGAGCTATTGAATGACATATAACACTTTATGGTTCGATGAAATATGAAATTTCACTAACATCAAAGTCGCCGCCTTTAATTCTGAAATTTTGGATAGACGGTTTCCGATTATTTTATTTTTTCCGTTCATTTTTGGGCCTAACTTAAAATTTGTAGTGTTCGGATTTTTGATTTAAAGAAAAAAAAAATTTACACGGGTGTAATCGATGTGCGATGCTCATATAGGGGCCTATTAGAGTATTTACGGTAGTTAAACATATGGTTCAAGTGTTTTACGGTACTTGTCATTTTAGGAAAAGTCCAAGGCCTGCCCTGCTCCTGTTGCTAAGACAAAGCTCAATGTTGGGTCTGCTCCCGTCGAGTTAATGTCTAAGGTGACACAGTCACCACTGGGAGGGCCATCGCAAATGGGAAAAGTGAAGACTCGAAGCAAAAGTAAGCCTTTTTAAGTTCCCTTAACATATTTCTTTAGTGCGCTCGATGATGATGCGCTTGAAACGCAAGAAGCCGCCACAGGGATCCAGGAACGTAAGTTCTTTGATGGTCTTTAACAACTTTAACAAAACAAAATAACAAAACAAGGTAAGTCTTTAACAACTCTCTTTAGTCCAATCTGCCTCCTACTACACAGCCAGCTAAGAAGAAGGGATGCATCATTGCCTAAACAACAACAACAATTCGGGACAACTCGCGTGGACTTGCACTTTTGGGAGAAACCTTTAAAAACTAATCGATTACTCTTGTAATAAACGTACTTGCATTTCCTTGTTCAATGACATAAATTGTTTTTGAATTTTAACATTACATTGGTTGTTCTGTGAGATTTTGCTTTATTGATTTTATTCAATCCTGGATCATTATCCAAATTAATGATATTCATACTTTTCAAAAAGAAATGCGAAAACACCTGACCGTATTATCGCAAACAAACTTATCATTATCGTAATACCAGTACCATATCGTGCCCCATTCTTACCCTACTTTCTACTTTATAAAATCTGCTCCGTAGTGTCATTATGTTGTCTTTTTACGCAACTTTTTTGACTGAATATCTTGCGTTTTATGAGAAATATGTAAACGGATAGGTGTTTATTTTCCTCAAAATTAATAGGCTTACAGAAATTAGAGTAAACTTTGCTACAAATATTCAAGATTTTTTTTAAAAGCTCAATTTCCTTAGATCCTTTCTTGAGAACACTGTGAACGGGTTTTTTTTGTTTTCTCTTTTCTTTTCGTCAGCTGCTGTGGTCACTTTTTGCGGCTGTGTCAAAACGGGTGTTCGGAGGGAAATCGCCCGAGTTTAATCTCGAATCACTATTGATCTTTTTTGAGTGTTTTTTTTTCAAAATGAAACTTCTTTTATTATTAACTCTATTCTCCGCAGTTTTCCTGATTTCTGTGATTTGCGCTGAAAATTCGACGAAAACAGAAGAAAACCCCGAGAAGGGAAAACTCGCATCAGCTTCATCGGAATCGTCTGAGGGTGAGTTAGAAATATATTTTAAAAAATGCTAGGTAATGCAATAAAGTAGGTAGAAGTTTTTTGTTTTAGTGTCTAAGGCATTGATAAAGAAATTCTTTGATAACAAAGATCAAGAGATTTTGAAAAGTATACCTAATTTATTGCATTACCATTAAAGTTTACAACTCTGCGTTTTTTCAAAGCTTTTTTGCGTTTTAGAACACTGCAAAAGCGCAGGAATCCGGAAAAGATTAGATTTATATTTATTTATATAATAGTTAGGCCGGTAGGTAACTAAATAACTAAATGAGAATGTTTAGAGAAAACAGAGATAAGAAATATTGAAGCAATCAAATCATCAAATTCAACGTTGATTGTTTTGTGATTTCAACTTTGTAACTTTCAACAGATAAATAGTAAATCTATCAATTTTTAACTTTATAAAGCCATAAGTAGAATTCACAACGAAAAACTATTCAGAAAAATCGGCCGAAGAGTCGAAATCGTCGTCATCGGAGTCGAAATCGAAAGAATCGTCGGAATTGAGTGAGCAAGCCAAAAATGAAACAATTCTCGATAAGGGACAGACAAAGGATGAAAAGTTGAAAAAAGTTACGATTTAAAGGTTTTTTTAAACAATTTTTTCAAGACAACTTTTATTTCATGACGATAAACTGTGATTGAACTTTGGGAAATGATACAGATTCAGTGATAAACTTTAAAACTCATCAAAAATTTAAAGCAAGCCCTGAGCTGTGATGTGAAGTGTCAATAATTAGTGCATCGAGCCTTGATTTTTATGTTGAAACAAACGATTCGTAAGACTTTTTTTTTGTAAGTTTTGGCTGTTTGCTTTAAAACAAATTTATTGGCGTTAATTTTTTAATTTTCAACCAACTGGGGCTTGTCGTTGAACCACGAATTTCGGGATAGATTTCTGAAATTTCATTTACTTTTTCTAATAAGATTTCATTTCAAATTTCATTGAAATTCGATTGAAATTTCATTGAAATTTTATTTACTATTTCTATTTCAATTTTCGAAACCTTTAGAGCAGCAGGTTGCTTCTGGGAGACTGGTTGTTGGACTTGAACCATTCTTGGCATTATTTGAGCCGCCACTCGCACTTTCGGGTGGGTTAATGGGTTGATTTTGGCTGAAAGTCGACTTGTTGCCGTTTTCCAGTAAAAACTGATTTGAAATTTGTTCTTGATTCACTTTGAAAGTAAACTAAACCCACGACATGATGCCGGGGTGACACAGCGACCGGAAATCGGGCACCGAACGTAGCCCTTGCAACATTGACAAGCCGGCGTCTTGCACACCATTGGGCAGATCTGGAATTTTATTGTAACTATTGGAATTTCATTTGATGATAAGTTTTAAGGTACCTTGAGTACAGTAGAATCTAAAAACCTACCGGATTCAAGTTAGTGCAAGTGGCCTCACACGTCGGACAACTGTTCCAATCCTCGTTCGGCGGGCATGAGTTCTTCGCTAGAAATATAATGCAGTGATTCAAATGTTGTACTACTTGTTGCGTAATCTCAGTTCTATTTTTCGATTTGAAACTCACGACACAGTGACGCGCAAATGCATCGCCCACTGATCGGGCACCGAACGAAGCCCGGCTTGCATTCGCATTTCGCTTGTTGACAATTCGGGACGCAATTCTAGATTAGGTACATGAGATCTTTCGATAAAAGTACAAAGGTCTTTCGACTAATTTCTCCTGATTCCAGGGCTGGTCCTCAAGGTCATAAGCCTGACCTGACCCACAAAACTTTGCAGGGTTAAGTCAAACTATGAGAAGCCATTATAGGCAAGTATGGCCCGACCCTGGCGCCTGGAAGTGCCCCTGGAAGCTCTGGCTAACTTCTAATACGATTTCTAATTCAAAACTGTAAAAATCTTGAAGTTTGATAAACTAACCGGACGCCCGTCCGGGAAAGCGCACGTCGCCTCACAGCCACTGCATCGTTTCAGCATCTCGTTCTCGCTACATGTCGGCGTGGCAGCTAGAATAATATGCTAATTTACAGTTTTTTTTAATTAAGGAGTTTTTTTCTAGAAGATGTCCTTAAGAAATTACTTGTTGGAGTTTCGGAAGTTCGAGCATTGCGTGCCGTTGTTGGAGTTCCAGGAGTTCCAGGAGTGCGTGCTTTTGTTGTAGTTCCGGGAGTGCCTGCCGTTGTTGTAGTTCCGAGAGTTCCAGAAGTGCGTGCTGTTGTTGAAGTTCCAGGAGTTCCAGGAGTGCGTGCTTTTGTTGTAGTTCCGGCAGTTTCAGGAGTGCGTGCTGTTGTTGGAGTTCTAGGGGTTGTTGGATTTCCGCGAGTGCCAGATGTTGTTGGTGTTCCAGGAGTGCGTGCTGTTGTTGTAGTGCCAAGAGTTCCAGAAGTGCGTGCTGTCGTTGGAGTTCCAGAAGTGCGTGTTTTTGTTGTAGTTCCAGGAGTTTCAGGGGAGCGTGCTGTTGTTGGAGTTCCAGGAGTTCCAGGAGCGCGTGCTTTTGTTGTCGTTCCGGGAGTCCCAGGAGTGTGTGCTGTTGTTGGATTTCCGTGAGTGCCAGATGTTGTTGGTGTTCCAGGAGTCCCAGGAGTGCGTGCTGTGGTTGGAGCTCTAGGAATTGTTGGGTTTTCGGGAGTGCCAGGCGTTGTGGGTCTCCCAGAAGTGCGAGCTGTTGTTGTAGTCCCAGGAGCTCTAGAGGTTGTTGGATTTCCGGGAGTGCCGGGCGTGCCACTTGTGCCTGTTTCAGTTGTTCTGGTTCCAGTTGATCCAATCAACCATGTAGTCGAGCCTGTTGGCTTGTGTGTCGTTGTTGAGCCTGTAATTACTTAATTAGTCAACTTTCTAGCACTCATCACATAGCAACAACTTACTACATTGGCCTGACGGAATGCATTGGCGAGTCTGTTTGTCACGCACGTAGCCCTCTTTACAAGCACAAATGTTTTCATTTGGACATAGTCGTTGTATAGGCTAAACATGTCAATAGAGGTGGTTCAAAAGCCAAATCTATATCAAACATTGGAATTTTTAACATTACCTTGTCTTTTGTTACACAGGTATCTTCACACATACTTAGCGCTTCGTTCGGGCCACACTTCAAGTGACATATTGGTTTGGCAAAGGTGCTGCCAGGCTAAAAACATTTCATTGCACGCTTGAAGAATTTCTCATACAAAATCTAAGATTGTTCATAAATACTATCCATAAATAAATACAATAAGATTAGTAGGCAATAGCCACTGCATCGTTTTACATAAGATACAAAAGACTTACATAAGATACAAAAGACACACGACACATAAGAAAAGCTCACCTCCATATAGCATTCTTGGCCCGGGTCACAAGCCATACAGCTACAATCGTTGCATGGTGGTCCTGCATTATAACCATATCCGCCATCGCCGCTCGATCCCCCACTGCCACTAGATCCCACATTCAAAAGATCTCCCCACGACACCGCAGAAACAACAGTGATGTAAATTAACTAAAAAAGTAAAGCCAAAAAGTAAAGCCATTTTACACAAAAAACTTACAAAAACTGTGTAACTTCTTAACATCATCAATTAGTCAAACGTGTTTTGCAGTATTCTCGTCGCCTTTTTATTCGCGCCCACTCAAATTTGCATAATTTCCCGACGTTCACACCGATAAAAACGCATCGAAATCTGAAAGTTTCCCAAGTTTTATGCTTAATTAATGCCAATTACGCGTGCGTCTAATGTTGTCACGAAAAAGGAAATCTTTTATGATTTTCGTTAAGCGTTTTCTTCTGGGAATTTGTGAATCGTTTTTCGGCATTATAAGCAATCATTATGAGCAACGATTTTTGATCGAAATTGGCGTGGCAAACAAACATTACGCTAATGTGTGGGTGGAAGTGTTTTCAAGTCGGTGATCGATGAAACATTGGAAACATCGAATGGAATCGAATTGAATCGAATTGATTCGAACTCTGATTAAATTGAATTGAATTCAGATTGAATCCATCGAATCCAGATCGAATTGAATCGAATCCAGATCCACTTGAATCGAATCCAGATAGAATTGAATCCAATCCAGATCCACTTGAACCGAATCCAGATCTACTTGAATCGAATCGAGATCCACTTGAATCGAATCCAGATCCACTTGAATCCAATCTAGATCCACTTGAACCGAATCCAGATCTACTTGAATCGAATCCAGATCGAATTGAATCCAATCCAGATCCACTTGAACCGAATCCAGATCCACTTGAATCGAATCCAGATCCACTTGAATCGAATCCAGATCGAATTGAATCCAATCCAGATCCACTTGAATCGAATCCAGATCGAATTGAATCCAATCCAGATCCACTTGAACCGAATCCAGATCTACTTGAATCGAATCCAGATCCACTTGAATCCAATCTAGATCGAATTGAATCCAATCCAGATCCACTTGAACCGAATCCAGATCCACTTGAATCGAATCCAGATCCACTTGAATCGAATCCAGATCGAATTGAATCCAATCCAGATCCACTTGAATCGAATCCAGATCGAATTGAATCCAATCCAGATCCACTTGAACCGAATCCAGATCTACTTGAATCGAATCCAGATCCACTTGAATCCAATCTAGATCGAATTGAATCCAATCCAGATCCACTTGAACCGAATCCAGATCTACTTGAATCGAATCCAGATAGAATTGAATCGAATCCAGATCCACTTGAATCAAATCCAGATCGAATTGAATCGAATCCAGATCGAATTGAATCCAATCCAGATCCACTTGAACCGAATCCAGATCCACTTGAATCGAATCCAGATCCACTTGAATCGAATCCAGATCGAATTGAATCCAATCCAGATCCACTTGAACCGAATCCAGATCTACTTGAATCGAATCCAGATCGAATTGAATCCAATCCAGATCCACTTGAACCGAATCCAGATCTACTTGAATCGAATCCAGATAGAATTGAATCGAATCCAGATCCACTTGAATCAAATCCAGATCGAATTGAATCGAATCCAGATCGAATTGAATCCAATCCAGATCCACTTGAACCGAATCCAGATCTACTTGAATCGAATCCAGATCGAATTGAATCCAATCCAGATCCACTTGAACCGAATCCAGATCTACTTGAATCGAATCCAGATAGAATTGAATCGAATCCAGATCCACTTGAATCAAATCCAGATCGAATTGAATCCAATCCAGATCGAAGTGAATTGAATCCAGATCCACTTGAATCGAATTCAGATCAAATTTGTAGAGCACAGACTAAAATCATAACCATAAGCTGTTGATCTGCAGCTGAAAGATCGAATGGAATCGAATTGAATAGAATTGATTCGAACTCAGATTAAATTAAATTGAATTCAGATCGAATCCATCAAATCCAGATCGAATTGAATCGAATCCAGATCCACTTGAATCGAATTCAGATCGAATCGAATTCAGATCAAATTTGTAGAGCACAAACTAAAATCATAACCATAAGCTGTTGATCTGAACAATCAACGAACACATACTAACTCAAAAGCCCATTTAAGAGCAAGAATATATTCTATGTTTAAAGTTTAGCTACTTTACTTACATTTGCATTGTATTGCTTACAGAAGTTGACCTTTTAGAGCTTCTTTTGAGCCATTTTTTTTAGTTCCCATCTGATTTCCCCGTCAAAGTGACGAATCATCTTAAAAGTTTCCAAGACTCGCTGTAAAAGCGATCATTTTTAGATTGTACACAAAAAAAGACGACGAGCACAATGGGGAATCTCACGCAAGAAATCTTAACCAAATAGGGTCGCCTTTGTTGTGGTGAGGCTTTGTGTGCACAACTTGATAACTCGCAGATATAAGCTCTTTTTTTAGGCTCTCGCAGATATTCTATTAAAGGTCTTTCTATTAAAATATCACAAAATGTCCCTCACACATTTAGTCTGCTTACTCTCATTGCTTTGCTTGATTGAGGTAAATCTTAAAGCTTTTTTTAAGTTTTCAAAATTTAGACAAGATCGCTGTTAAAGTCAAAGCAACGAGCACCCGCTGATAGTAAAGTTAGTGCTTTATAATAAAGAAAGAATTGGTTCTTTGTTCAGGTTTTTGTCTTGTTACGCACCACGATGCCCTACGATCAAACGCAAGGAGTCGGCTTCGTTCAGGCGGTGAAGGGAGGAGTGAGTGGCAAAGAATTTGCTAAGAACGATTTGCTAAGAACCCCATAACGATATCGGGCCAAACTTTTAAAATCATCTCTATAAACTTGCTATTAAGCAATAAAGAAAAGTAAGGATTGATCTCGTTATAGACAGGTGCAGGAATGGAAGCTGGCCACTGGCCCAAATCAGAAGTTGGTCAAGCCAGCTCAACTCTGGGGCTGATCTGACTTGCTCCAAGCTAGGTTTAGTACTAAAATATTACACAATGTACAAAAATTTGACCTAGGACTGATCCTGACTTTTAACTGACCCTAGTAATAAGTATAGTCTAGTCCATAACGAGCCCAAAAGCCTTTACCGATAAAGCTCTTTGCTATATGATGTACTCGTTGTGCCTCTGTGGAAGTATTCCTGGTTTTGAACTGGTACTGATCAGTAGCCATTGAGCGAGTCTAGTAAACGTTTACCTCTAGTTAACAAGCTCAAAACTAAACCAAGACACTGAGCCAAACCTTTCTATTTAGTTAACTTCAGCAGCAAAAAGCGGCAAAGTGAAGGTGGATCGGATTGAGGTTGGTTAATGGGATTGCCTTTGGTTTATGAGTGAAAGCTATAAATCGTTTAAGAATAAAAGATTTCACACAAGAATAAAAGATTTTATACAAGAATAAAAGATTTCACACAAGAATAAAAGATTTCACGCTTCTCTTCCAGGCTGTCAACCTGAGCGGAGCAATGACAGCCAAACTCGGCGTTTCCATTAACGACAAAGTTTCTTGTACACAAGTTGAGAAATTTGCAAGAAATGCTGTCAAACAGAACATGGCCGTGGGTTTCATTTGACACATTTACAACTTAGAAACTCTAAAAACCAACTTACAACTTAGAAACACTTAGAAAAACCTTTTTAAACTCTAAAAATCTATTTTAACTTTAGCTACACTCCGCAATCATTACCTGTCGAAACGAGAAACCGAAACGAATTCTCCGTGGAAAGATCTAGAAATTAAAAGCCGATTTTTTTTGTCTAGATCAGGGTTTTGTTTGCTTTTGTTTATGAATGCCTTTGCTATGAATGCCAAAAATAAACCGTTGAACACAAGTCAATCAGTACACAAAATCAGTACAAATCAGTTAATACCACAAAAGCTAGTTAAAAAAATTACAATGATTGACACAAACAATACAAAAACCCGACCACTAAGCCCTTTACATGATTTCAAAAGTGTTTCTGTGACTTTAGTGGTGCTCTTTTTCTCACTAATTTTTGTAATTCTCTTTTTCTTCGAGAATTCAGATAATTCTTTATTTACATATAATGTGGAGATCATAACAAAATAAGAATGAATAAATGAATAAAGATATGCACTAAAGGGGAGTGACTGGTGGATCGGGAATGTTTCGAATTGATTGATTTGAAAGCGGGAATTATAGGTTTTGTGAGATCATCGTTTTGCAGTTTTCAAGTGAAGTGAAGTGATAGAATGCGATCTTCAAGGATGCGATAGAGATTCTAAAAATCGTGTTTCATTTTCAGCAATTACAAATCGAAATGAACTCGGACAGTTAGCCTTTCTCTTTCTCTTTCTACCCTAATATTATCTCTAATTTATCTACTTTTTGTCTGTGAGAGTTCGCAAAGGATATCGAAAGATACAAGAACTAGATAGATTCGATAGAAATAGAGACAAGATTACGGTGGAAAGAGAAAGGGAACACGTTTTAACCAACACTGGAGTCTACTGTCCACTACAATAAGTTAAAAGACAAGATTAGGCTATCAATTTCAATGAGTTACCTGAGTTAGCCGAAATCTCACTTCACAAGGCCCAATCTGGAACTGTTGGAATGATTGGGTCTTCGTAGGGTTGAGTCGATGAAGAGATCATTCTTCAGCCTTGTTTGAAATCTGAAATTATTGCTCATTAGATTGTTTAGATCAATAACCGATTCAACAACCGTTAATAACCAATATTAGTCAAGTAAAGCTAAGCCTACGATTCCCTACAACAAGATATTCAGTCAAGTAAAATCATGAAGTTATTCAAAAGATATTCTGTTAAAGATATTCATTTGAACCAGTGAAGCACTCTGAAAATAGGCTAGTTCCCCATTTTCTTATATAGAGATAGATCACGAAAAAACTTGCACAAGGCACACAAAATGCAAGAGAAACCCACTTACGCAAGGGAAATCCTCATTTTTCTCTGATCTTTTCATCTTTCGCACTTTTCCGTTTTTCTCACCTTTCTTCAATCTTTTCGTTTTCTCAGCGATCTCTTCGCTTTTCAGCATATTTCCAGAGTTGATACGTATCGATATGGTTCGATACATGTATTGCTTAGGCTAGTCTTTTCATGAGACAAATTGTCTTTTGTATGGAAATTTGTAGATGAACCCATCACAATGCAATCGGGGCTAAAAACGCACTTTCAAGCAAAAGCGTTTCAAACAATAAAATCATCTTAAAAAAAGTATTTGAATCGAATTTTGAACAAATAACGGGAAAAATTCAGATCTCTTTCAGATTTTCATAGTTATTCCCAACCAAAAAAAAAACCACCCATTAACTTTCCAGACAATGCTTGAACTCAATTCCCTTTGAAACTCACGAATTTCAAAAACGTTCAGTATTTTTCAGTATTTGTTAAAAAGTACTAGAATAAATAATCCCTTTAAAATTTGACTGTGAATAAATAAAATTGATCGTCTTTTCTAAATGAGAAGACCCTACACCATTGCTTCTCATACTTATACTCAAGCTCGGTCCACTTTGAAACTTTGATTTTGTGAACATTTAAATCGTGTGACTGCCAGCATTCACATCATTTCTTTCATTTAAAACTTTATTTAACATTGATAACATTTACCAAACTGCCGTTGAGAATCATGAATGCTAAACTTTATGGAAGCTAAACGTGCTCGCCGGTTTCTAAAAGAAGTTATTTCCCCATTTCTTGTCAGCATTTTGTTGTAACTCATTTTCATCGAAAAGCTTTGAATTCATCAGCATTCACGATAAGCATTCACGCAAAGAATTAAGTGCAAACTCTTTGCGCCAAATGTTTTACGCAACACGATGAAAATTCATTTCATTCGCAAGGGAAAGAATTAGATGCTAATTCGAATATTCGTTGCGCCAATTTTTAAATTTTCTACCCAACACGATTGATGATTTCTTTTGTAAGTTTGGGTTGGAATGTACTGCTTTTTACTGGAAAAAGAGAGGCTCTTTCAGCTGTTTATCACCAAAAATGACCAGCTGAGTGGAATGAGGGAGGAAATGGGTAAAAATATTAAACAAAACTCTTGGAAACACCAGAAAATCTTAATACAAAATGTTTTAAAGAATAAAAAGGGAGGGGGAAATCATATGGTTTTACGGTGTGAGAAACTGACATCAATTAAATGATTCGGTTTAAAAGCATTCAATCTCAGGGTTCAGGGTGAATATTTTGAAACACGAGAGCTTCAAATCAAGCATTTGATGGATTTTCTTGCAAGTTTCTTTTCCGCAAACTCAATCGAAATATATTATAGTACTTGTGACACAAAACGTACACTTTGATGCTATGGAAGCGTGATATATAACTTTGCAATTTGAATGCACCGATCAAATTCAAATTTCATTTGAAAGCAATTTGAATGCATTTTCTAATATTTTTAGTCCAAAAAAGGAATACAGATAGTCTGGAATATGTCTATCAACTTATAGATGGATTTCTCGTTTATGACATTACTTTTTTGTAAGTGCATCTATCAGCCTCAGCACTTGCTATTTAAGACGCACAAAAGGTCAACTCTCGATTACATTATGACCTCGTTTATGACATTACATTTCGATTTATAATCGCTCAAAGTGAAACACGATCTTTAGAATCTTCATTCAATTTTTAGAATCAATACCGGATCAGTTTCTCGTGATTAGTTCAAAGAAATTGAAACTTTACTTCTATAGTTAGATTTTTCAAATCTCATAGCTCATTTCTCGTATCAATACGCATCCAATTTCTGAATTCTGAATCATGCACGAAAAAGTTGACGTATCTTGTTTGTGAGATAAAATCTCCTCAAAGCAAAAAACAAATGAGTCTAGGCATTAGTCAAGGAAAAGCAGACAGTGAGGGGAATTTTCTTGCGTTTTGTGTTCGAGTTTCAAAATTCGTGTGAACGCAAGACTTTTGAATGCAAGGTTTTTCGCCATTCTTGAATGTAAGAGTATTTAGGAAAGAGTTTATTGTATGAATATTGCAAAAATAGGGAAATTTAGATCGAACAAAAAAACTATCAAAAAATTTTCAAAACTGAAAGAGAGATATTGGAAGTGAGATGGGGACCTGAAAAAAAGAAAGCTTGAAATAGCAAAATGAGGTTTTTGAAATCCGGGGAATCCTGGGGAATCCGAATCCAGCATCAGCTTCTCGAAATGTCAAAGCTAGTACCAGATTTGGATTCTTCATCCCAGAGACCTTAATCTTTAAAATTGAATCGTAATTGAACTCCGAAACGTTTCGAGTGATCAAAACACCAAAAATGTTCTTTCCGCAAATGTGTTCAAAAGTAAAACGAGGAAAAATGGAACAAAAAGTGAAATAAAAAGGCTTAAAAATAAAATTTCTATCAAGTTCTATGAATAAAAGCCATACAATCACATAAAGCTTTCAGTTTTTCTAAAGTCTATTGGGAATTTTGAGAGATCCGAACAAATAACAACACAAAATTGACGATTTGGGATCTTGGAAAAGTAAAATTCTTGTTTGAATATGTTTAGATTTGATGAAAATATAGAAATTCAGTTAAGGAATATAATAAAAACGGAGAAGACAAGTAAAAACTAAACAGTAGAAAGAGTTGGAAAGTTCGACTGAAACTTTGAAACACGAAATCCCGTTGAGAGACCAAAGAAATGGAGCGGACAGTGACGAGCTCTGGAAGGTTAAAAATTAAAGTTACTTTTGAAGAATTAAAACCAAATTTCTTTGGGGTTTTAAAGAGAGTTTACCCTTGCATTTGGGTGATCAATTTCCCGAGAAACGCCAAGAAAAAACCCCAAATCGCAAAGATAAGAGAGAAATTGATTCTTTTTTTGCGTTTCACGAGGAAGTCTTGCTCTTTTGGCCTTCCCTTGGAAAAATATTTCTTGCAAATTTCAATTTGTTTCAAATGTAACCTTTATATTTTGATTCAGAAACGAAAATATTCTCTTACTTTGAGACTTTTGAAACATCATTTTTATAAATCATTCACTCAACCCAAAGTCAGCGTTCTCTTTCAGTCAGTTTTATGTTGTTTTATAAACCTGTAGCTTCTAAGTCATCAATTCTATTCATTTTAAAAGTTAATTGTTGCCTTTTAAAACCCAATATTAAATTTGATTCTGAAAATCGACTAACTGAATCAGCTCCTTTTTTTGTAAGATTATATGAAGGATCATAAGGCTCAGTCAATGATACCAAAATTGGACTGATCGGATGAAAACTGGCGGCGAGATTACTACCGTTTGTCTGTAATGGGTGCCTTTTAGAAAAGGCCATAGCCGAGAGGAACACAATCTTTTCTGAGTCTATTCTGAGTCTTCTCTGAGACATTACTTGTATTTTACTATCACCCACCATTTCTCGTCTTTCTTTTTCTTTTCTTCTTCTTCTTCTTCTCTTTTTTTCTTCTCCTTTTCCTCCCGTTCTTTCTCTTCTTTTTCTTTCTCTGTGTCCGCCCATTCAGTAAAATTTGGGTGACTCGGCTCAGGAAATGGCATTGTCACTTCTGAAAGTTGGGTAAGATGAAGACTTGAACTACTAAAAACAAACTTTCTTATAGGTTTAATGTAAAATAAAAAATGGAGAGAGATTAGAGTAGAAAGAGCTTTTTCGTGATTTCTATTTGACCAAAATTTGACACTAAATTGACCAAAAGAGGAATTAACAGGAATGCTTATGGTTAATTTTGGTTTGGATTTTGGGAGCTTAACGTATAAAAAGAAATTGTAATCGATAATGCGAA